AATATTAAAGATAATTAAGATTTAGATAGAAATAAAGCAGTTTATTGCAATTGATTATTGCAGAGTGCATTGTACTCTAAAACACTGAATAGATATTAATATCCTTTCGTACAAATTTGATTTTATCGAAAAAACTTTATAATATGACAATACTTCTAATTTTATTACAGATTATTTAAAAAAATCTCCCAGAAATGACAGTGATAAGAAATAATTGCATACATTTACATGTATGTAGATTAGTTACGGGAAAATATTTACATGTAACAAATAAGTTCATTTTTATCATTTTGTATGAATGAATATTTATGTTTTCACAAGAAAGAAAAAAATGAAAACATATTTATTTCGAAAGTCTGTCATTTTTCTACATTCAACAAACATAGATTTTAACATGTCAGTAAAAGGAATTTGCCCCAACCCCAATAAATAGATAAATAAATAAATTGATTAATAAACAGAAATAAAGAAACAAAACAAACAAAAGAGAGAATGAATTCTCTAAGCTTCTCATTAAAAACTTTTAAAAATCGATGTAAAGTTGTAAATGAATTAAATATTTGAGTCTTTGTTTGTTTGTTTGTTTTTATGATTTTATAGACAGTATAAGTCGGCACTATGAAAGGGGGTTTGGTTTCACAGGCTCTTTGGGGTATCTAACCCCCTCCCCCTCCTTCATTTTTTCTTTTAAAATCTGGGATTGACACACTTTTCCCCCTTCGTTTATTCTACTATGCACTACATGTCATCGAAAAGGTTTACAACTATTCTGAGATGTTTTTAATTTGTCTCGTTGTATCAGTTGTAAACAAGATATTTAAAAAAATCTCAAAGATACTAAAAAGTTAGATTATCAATAACATTTAATACAAACTGGAATAACATGTATAATGCAAAGTAGAATTCTCACATCGGAAAAAGGGTGTCGATCCCAGATTTAAAAAGTGAGGAAAACTGTGAACAAGTGGTGAAGGGAAAAGGGGGGATGGTTCATACCCCAAGTGCATGTCCTTGTTCTTTGAATGCTGGGATATTTCTTTAATATCACCTACCAACAATGAAAGTAACAAAAACTTGTGTTGGTTTAGTTGTAAGTATGTGCAGCAGCATTGTTGTCGCATGTGTATATTTTACTCCACTGTGAGCTGTGTGCGAATCCGGAAATTTTTACGTTTTCACTCTACCTTTTTTCTTGCAGCCTTCATATCCCGTTTGAGATTTAAGCGAAAAATCAACACGGTCAACACGGAAATCGAAAAATGTAGATGATAAAGGTAAAATAGGTTAGAAATTGTTGGTGGAATTTAGGTTCGGGTTTGTTATCAAGTTTATTATCCAGTCAACTGAATAGCTTGAATGAGTACCGAACGCAGTGTCTTTTTTCAGGGTTTCGCCCAGTCATGTTGTCAGAATTACTCGGGACAGTCCCATACATTTCATGATGTGTTAGAATAGTTGCAGTGAAGCAAAGCGGAGCAATCCACTCAGATGCGAATTTGTAGAATGTTAATTATTTTGCAATGAAAATAACCGTCAAATAATTTCTAATAAAACCTTTTTGAGCTTCTATATATACCTTTCATCCAGAAAAATAATCCAATTCCATGATATGTTTTACGGTGTCATCATTGGGACAGCGCAGTTATATACATGTACCGTGATAAAAGCTTTAAATAACTTACACTTTAAACTTTGATCCACCTCTTCAAACTTCAAACTGCATGAGACAGGCTAGACTGTGATGTCACATGACGTTGTATTTAAGTTGCATTTCTGTAATTGAGTCTAAATAGGCCCTTTGCAATTTTGTAATGGAAGACATTCTAGAGTAGATGCAATTATTTTTTGTTTCGTTTAAGCTCTCTGCAAGAACTAAATCTTAATATATGATAACATCATAATTGCGGGACTGTTTATTCGCCATTAAAACATGGAATCCTGGTATCAAAGGAATTCTTGGAAGGTTTCACAGAAAATATACAGACTTTAATTTGAATTTTCTCTGTTCTTACACATTAGTCTATTGAGCTGCTGCACTTGCTATCAGTATGTAAACGGTAGGACTGATAGGGCGAGCGCAGTTCTGAATACCTATTTACTTTTTACTAAGATCCACCTCTTCAGACCGCACAAGACATTTGGAAGGTCTACACTGTGACATCACATGACGTCGTATGTTAGTTTCATTTCTATAATGAACAGCTGATGAAGTCCGAAAATTGCAAATTTTTAACAGAGAATGTTTAATCTATGATGTGTCTGCAACAACCATTATTAATAAGTAAATGATATTTATTTATTAAACCCATTAAATAAGTAAATCAAGGTGAGTTTATCGCGAGAAAGTAGTTTGCGGTGAGATGCAATTTGTGTGGAGCATTATGGGTCCAGAGATTACTAGTGATGGGAATTGGTACAAATTTCATAATCAATGATCGGGCTTCTGTAAGTAACTAATTATCAGTTATAATCGGACATTTACAAAGTCTGTAAGTTTAGTTTATTAAATGGTAAGAATGGTGGAATAACTACTTTCTGTGATGGTCCAGCTGGTTCTTCATTTATTTTGTAGAATCCAAAGTACATCCATACCCGGGAATGAGCGTTGTTACCTGGGTGTGAATACCAATGTCCGTTTGTCTGTGCCATTAAGATACACAAATAAGTTAATAGATAAGTTGCGGCTCGAATATTTGGCTTAAAAACTATTAGGCTTGTAAAAAAAAAACATAACCCGATTAATCAGAATAAAAATTTTGTAATCGAGCACTTGGATTATGCCAGCAATCGACTGATTTTCGATTATAATCGATGACTGGAACACCACTAGAGATTACTGTTGGAAAAAAAATTCACTTGGATCAATGTTTACAGTCCAAATTTTCTCTTTGCCGAGATGTTCTCATAGAGCTCACATTCATGCTTCAAATTTATCCAACATATAGACATTCAGAAATATAGTACCTGCATAGATTAGAATTATCTGCCCCTATTTTGTTTAGGTTTTTTTTTAGTTATTGATATCAAGGGCCTTGGCCTTTCCAGTTGGGAAAAAATGGTGACATTTGCTTGAAATTTGGGAAAAAACATTTCAGGAAAAACCAAACTAGTGCATATTTGTAGCATGTATAATTAGACTCCCTCTGACTTTCAATTTGAAAAAAAAAGTTTATTTCACAATTATGTGCATCTGTGAAGGAGATTTATGAACAATAAGGCTACCCTGCTTTGATGTTTTTTTCATTGTTTGGGAATTTTAAAGGAAAAATGAGGAAAAATACCTTCTGTTTTAGCATGGGGAATGAGTTCCAGATAAGGTGCAGAAATGTATATTGAATTTTACAAAATACACATTAAAAATACTGGGATACAGTTATGCATTAGCAATCATAAATAAGCATTACACTACAGAAGTACATGTACTGTGTACGATGGATTGAATAATAGCAAGGCTAGCACCACTTGCACTGCAAGCTCTTACGACAACGCTTGGGCGAATAGAAAATTCATACTTAAAACATTGATCCAAATGGATTTTTTTTCTGATTGGACAAGTGGGTCTTGAGATAGACTTGTCTGGCTGGACAGATGGGCCTTGAGATGGACTTGTCTGATTGAACAAGTGGGTCTTGAGATGGACTTGCCTTACTGGACGAGTGGGCCTTGAGATGGACTTGTCTGATTGGACAGATGGGCCTTGAGATGGACTTGTCTGATTGAACAAGTGGGTCTTGAGATGGACTTGCCTTACTGGACAAGTGGGCCTTGAGATGGACTTGTCTGATTACAAAATAAGCTGAACAGGGGCGATTGGACAAACTTAAGTTTTATGTTTAGCCCTGTCAAAAAAATAAATGTCAGTGAACCAGTATGCAGTAGGCAAGTGTAAGGTTTAGTGTGACACTGGTCAAACATTAAATTTTACTGGGCCCCTGATCATCAAGCCTCCTACATGTGTAAGTAACCCCCCTCCATCCCCCCTTCCTCCTTCTCTGAAATATTAAGTCACTTAGTTGTTCAAGCCAGGTTTACTGTGTGCTACAGTGTACAAAAGTTGAGATACCTTTTTACTATGTTTACTATACATTTTATGTGAAACTAATGAAATATTTTTTTTTTATTAACAGTAAACGTACACAAGTTTGTGTCACTGATTCGGAGAAAAAAACCCCATGATCTCAGCATATTCACATATATTTGCTACCAACTGAGTGCTAACTTAGTACATCTACTGGCTGAGTGCTAACTTAGTACATCTCGCCTTATGTGTCTGGCTGAGTGCTGACTTAGTACATCTCGCCTTATGCGTCTGGCTGAGTGCTAACTTAGAACATCTCACCTTATGTGTCTGGCTGAGAGCTAACTTAGTACATCTCGCCTTATGTGTCTGGCTGAGTGCTAACTTAGAACATCTCGCCTTATGTGTCTGGCTGAGTGCTAACTTAGTACATCTCGCCTTATGTGTCTGGCTGAGTGCTAACTTAGAACATCTCGCCTTATGTGTCTGGCTGAGAGCTAACTTAGTACATCTCGCCTTATGTGTCTGGCTGAGTGCTTACTTAGAACATCTCGCCTTCTGTGTCTGGCTGAGTGCTAACTTAGTACATCTCGCCTTATGTGTCTGGCTGAGTGCTAACTTAGTACATCTCGCCTTATGTGTCTGGCTGAGTGCTAACTTAGTACATCTCGCTTTATGTGTCTGGCTGAGTGGTTACTTAGAACATCACACCTTATGTGTCTGTGTGAAAAAGAGAAATAATGAAGTCTATATCCTCAGGAACTTTACATAAAAAATGAAAGAAATTTCTTTTAAATTATTATATGGACATAGTAAATTTTACAGTAAAACTGATTTGGCCAGCTTTTGAGCATGGTTTTTTTTCTAGTTTTTTTAAAATCACTGCTCAAGTCTCATACACAGGTTTGACAGTTTCATCATATTCAAACAGTATATTAGGTGAAAATTCAAACCAGTGATATATTTCTTGTTTAATTTACAGGCCGTGTTGGCTGATTGAACGTTCATGTAGAGGCAGATTTTCCTCCATATTTGAGTGACAGTCCACGGGAGAGAACATCGCAGTCATGAACACAGATCATATTGATGGTATTAATTTTACCTATGTCAGGGCTAGGGAAATCTAAATTTAGTAACAAAGGGTGTTCTAATTACTTTTCTTCTTAAAAGTGGTGAATAAAGCATAATTTTAGGAATGTTTACAGTGTTTAAATTTTCCCAAATTGGAATTTTACTGGAGAAAAATAGGGCTGAAACGATTCACCGAAATATCGATATTGTTCAATATTACTGCTTGGTTTAATGTTCAATTCACTATCTCGGTTTCGGTTCGGTACATTTTTTTATAATCGGGTTTGGGTACTCCTTGAAATAGATCGGGTTTGACCTCATTTTAATAGTTTGACACACAAGAGGGAGAAAGTTGCGACAGAGAAAGTTTCAGAGCAGGCTACCACTGCTAGTATTGACACGAACAAAGTGTTCTTTTAATCTACAGAAGCACATGTCAAGTAGTGCTCTTTATTGTATCACCACCTTTTACTTGCCTTTTGAAATCTGAATACATGTTTTCTTTAACCTTATGATTTATTTCTTTTTTAAAATGTATCGTATTGAAAAAATTGAATTGTGACACAAGTATCGGGATACATACTGTATCGTGGAGGGGGCGTATCGTTTCAGCCCTAGAGAAAAACTAATGTAATATACATGTATTGTAATAATGAGACAGATTTCCCTTTTTCTGTCTTTCATTTCTGTTGTCAGGAAGTAGGGATTTCCTTATTCTATAAATAATCTACTTCTGTTGTCGGAAGGATTTCCTAACTCTATAAATTATATCTTATTTCTTTCATCAGGAAGTGAGGATGGAAAAAAGCGAGATCTGCTTGGTAAAAAACGAGACTCAAAGAAGGGACAGAAAGATCAGGGGTACATGAAGTTTGACGAGGAGGACTCGGACACATCTCAAATCACCACAGAAGAATTCAAGTGAGTTTTCTCAAGGGAATTCAAGTGAGTTATTTCAAGGGAATTCAAGTGAGTTATCTCAGAGGAATTCAAGTGAAATATCTCAAGGGAATTCAAGTGAGTTGTCTCAGAGGAATTCAAGTGAGTTATCTCAAGGAAATTCAAGTGAGTTATCTCAAGGAAATTCAAGTGAGTTATCTCAAGATATTCAAGTGAGTTATCTCAAGGGAATTCAAGTGAGTTATCTCAAGGGAATTCAAGTGAGTTATCTCAAGATATTCAAGTAAGTTATCTCAGAGGAATTCAAGTTAGATATATCAAAGTTTATGTAAACTCTGATTAATTTCAACTTAGTACAGAAAGCTTAACAAAAAAAAGCTCTCTTTGAAAGAGTTTTGAAGTCAGACAAATTCAGGTATGTTTATTTCAGTTTACACACAACCAATAATTACCTCTTAATTTCTTGCAACTCAACTAGCTGAAAATAGGTTTCATTTTACATTTTAGTTCAGGAACTTCATAATCTAAAATCAAACAGTTATTTATTTTTTACAAAATACATGTAGTGTTTGTTTATATGTATATAAAAATAGAAAATCAGGTATTGTAATCCTTTAATGCAGGAGTTGCCTCCCTTAACCTTTCTTTCTTTTTATTTTATACAGGAGTCCATCGAAAGCCAAGAAATCAAAGTCATTTTTCAAAAAGCAAAAACCAAAGGTAAATTTTACTGATTTTGATATGCCTGTCTTTTAAATGAAGTTATTATGATATTGGCTTTCCTGTCCGTCTCTCTGTCTGTCTGGTAGCTTTTTAATGTCTGAGTTAGAAGTACAGGAGGCCTAGGGTCATCACACTTTTTCAGTTGATGCATCCTGGGAGAAGCTGTGGTCATGAGGTCACTTCAAAGTCAAATTGGAATTTCATGGATATACGTACAGTACACAGGGATATATTTTTGCCCCATTTTATTTTTTGCCCTTTCACACTTGCAAACAATTTTGGCCCATTGTAAGTTTCCCCAGACACAGTTGTGTCTAAGAGATAATGATATCATTTTTGAATTCACCTTGTTTTAAATTTGCCCCCTATGAAAAGGGCAAAAAGGGTCATAATAAAACAGGGCTGAAAATTTCCCTGCATGCAGTAGTCATGTCTGCCTCATATCTTGCACTGTGTGAGGCTTAGTAATACCATATTGGTCAATTGAAGCATCTTGAGATTGAAATGTGTCATATTTATTATAATTTAAAACATTGCTGTGACGTCATGCCTTTGTTCTTGCAGTCTAAAAATTTACCTGTAGCCGTCCGATAATAATAATTACCAGTCCAATAATATATTATCGGACGGCAGTGATAACAAAATCGGACAGTAGCTAAAAACAACAACTAGAGTGAAATCAAGGTTTAATATGCCCAGAAATCAAAAAAAAAAAGTTAGGGAGAACAAATTCAGGGAAAGCGAACACGAGGAAATTAAGTTGTTAAAAATAGCGAATCCAAGAAAAAGAAACTGAAGTTTTAACCTTCCTCAAAAGTAACACTTTCCATTCGGTTTTTTGCAAAGCGTTTTCGATACAGCACTGTGAATAAGCCAATTTAAATCCATTTTCTGATAAAGAACCAGTCTGCGAATCTCTTCTTTTAACGAGGTTTGTTCGCCAATGACCGCAGTTTTAAAACCCAAGATTTTCATTATATCATCCAATCAAATTTTTAGATAAAAATCCGCATTTTTACTTTAAATGAATTTTGAAGATATCATCCAACACTGTATCAATGTCAAACGCACTTAATAAACAAAATATTCCGAATCATAAAAAAAAATTCTTCATCACCTGACCATTGTCCATAGTTCCTGCTAAGCCAAACGACTGCCATTGAATGAAACAAAAGAGTTCACTCACTGGTTTTCCTGTCTCAAGAAAAAAAACTTTCTCTTTTCTTTTGTCTACTTATTAGATGGTTTCAGGTAGAAAACTATTGATGCCTGAACTCCTATTGTGTTATTATCGGACTCCTCCAGGTAACTTTTGGACATTTAAATAGCAATGTTTTAAGTAAGATATATGCCTCATACAATTCTATATGTAAAATTATCAGACTGTTTTCGGCCCTAACGGGCCTCAAACAGTCTGATAATTTTACATATAGAACAGTATTCGGCATATATCCATTACATAACCCTGGCCTAATTCTGGAAGTTTTCGGCTATACATAGTCAAGTCAAACATATACTATAATTGTTTCTTTGCTTATTCAGTTCAAGAAGAAAAGTTTCGTCAGAATGTTTTTCATGCAGGTGACCTGTGTATTTTATTGTTATTGCAGGTGACATTTGTTCCACAAAACACACTTGTTTTATAAGTTCTTAACAAAATCAAAATCAAACTTGTAGGAAGAAAAGAAAGACAAAGAAGGGAAGAAGGATGAGAAAGAGAAGGAAAAAGAAGGAAAGAGAGAAGAAAAAGAAGGAAAGAAGCACAAAATTAAAGGAAAAAAGAAATCCAAGCACGAACCTCCACCCCCAAGTGAGCCAGGTAACTCCTTCACTGAAATTTATTGAAGATCCTTAATCAGGGTTGTCCCTAAGAATTGAAATAGCAGGAGAAATTAAAAAAGTAGAAGGGGGTCTGGGGTTCCTCCCCTGAACAGGGAGTTGAGGGGGATTACCAGAATAACTGGGGGATTACACCATTGTAGGAGGGGAAATTCCCCGGCTCCCATGTCTTAGGGACAACTCTGCATAATACTTGTATGTACAGTAAGTTTATAAGGAAAATCATAATAAAGGTCAAGGAAATGTTATCCTTAACATTTAAATGTATACAATCATCATCAAATAAGAACCAGACTTTGCTTACAGTTGAAGTTACCAAACCTATTTTTGGTGTACCATTGTCAGTGGCCGTGGAGAGAAGCCCAAGTCATGATGGGATAGAACTGCCTCGGCTTTTCCGGGAGTGTGTAGATTATATTGAGGAACACGGTAAGAATGAGATGTTGATGGCATGTTATATAGATGATATAGTAAGTAGGGCTGGGACGATACAACTTTTTCTATATCGATACATATCCCGATATTTGAGCCACGATACGATATGTATCATGATATGTTTAATTGGTTATAAATCCTTTTTTTATATTGAAATGAACAAAACATTTCTTCACAAATAAGAATAATTTATTCAAAGAAGTTGTATGTATGTCTGTTGTAAAACTTAATTATTTTGCACAAGTGGTCTTAATTATTATGTATTTCATATTTATATTTATATTAAGCATATTTATTTTACATATTAAACCCAAAATGTCAAGTAAACAAAGAAAAACATTAGTCAGAATTTTTTGGACGATATGTCGATATTTCTTCATATGTATCGATATGCGTATCATCCTCACATTGAATCGATATTATCGATATCTCGATATATCGTCCCAGCCCTAATAGTAAGGCTGGGACATTGAGGTATCCAGCTGTATGAATCATTTCACAGAGTAGTGGTGGGGATACAATATGCATTACATTGTTTGGTATAACTATTCAGGCTTTATCCAAAAAGATGTCAATTTTTTATACAGTTACCAAAATAAAATTAGAAAAAGATACATGGGTACCCTGATTGTTATTTATTTAAATTAAAAATTAGACATGTATAGTTATAAAGGTATTAGTATAGAATAGAAAATCATGTCATAAGGACTAAATTAAGGAACACACATCAAGGTCATGAATAAACTAAATAACAGTTGAACTCGAATACCATGGAATGTCAAAATGAGTCCCAAGCACTTTTTATGCCCCCGGATCGAAAGATCCCGGAGGTATATTGTTTTTGTCCTGTCTGTCTGTTTGTCTGTTTATCTACTTGTTTGTCTGTTTGTCCGTTTGTCTGTTTGTCTGTCTGTCTGTTGTCAACTTTAACCTTGCCCATAACTTTTGATTGGTTGGAGCTATGACTTTCATATTTCACATGTGTATTCCTTGTGACAAGACCTTTCTTTGGGTACCATCATATTTGACCTTTTGACCTTGACCTTGGAGTTTGACCCACTTTTGCAAAATTTTATGAGACCTTAACCTTGGCCATAACTTCTGAACAGTTGGAGCTTGGGGTTTCAAACTTCACATGTGTATTCTTTGTGACAAGGCCTTCTTTTGGATACCAACAACTTTGACCTTTTGACCTTGACCTTGGACTTTGACCTACTTTTGAAAAACTTTAACCTTGGCCATAACTTTTGAACAGTTGGTGCTTAGGGTTTCAAACTTCACATGTGTATTCCTTGTGACAAGACCTTCCTCTGGATATTAACCACTTTGACCTTTTGACCTTGACCTAGGAGTTTGACCTACTTTTGAAAAACTTTAACCTTGGCCATAACTTTTGAATGGTTGATGCTAGGGCTTTCATACTTCACATATGTAATCCTTAAGACAAGACCTTCCTTTGGATACCAACCACTTTGACCCTTTGACCTTGACCTAGGAGTTTGACCTACTTTTGAAAAACTTTAAACTTGGCCATAACTTTTGAATGATTGGTGCTAGGGCTTTCATACTTCACATATGTAATCCTTGTGACAAGATCTTCCTTTGGATACCAACCACTTTGACCTTGACCTTGACGTTTGACTTTTATTTAAAAAACTTTAACCTTCACCTTAACTTTTGAACAGTTGTATCTAGGTCTTTCAAATTTCACAGGTGTTTTCCTCGAGACAAGATCTTTCTTTGGGTATCAACATTTTTTATCTTTTGGCCTGGATTTTGACTTGCATTTGAGAAACTTTAACCTTCGACATAAGCTGCCATACGGGGGCATCAGTGTTTCACAAACACATCTTGTTCTTCATGTTTTTTTTTATTCTAGATATCTCAAATCATTGAATATTATTTAAAATTTTTTTTTCTTGGTCCACCCAGTGGTGAGATGATGAGGTTTGACTGTACATGTATAAATTCCCAATTTTATGAATTTTCAAAAAATGAAATATAATACATCAGCTGGAAACATTATGTTGATTTCTACACAATGTCATCTTTTGACTATGATAATTACATTAATGAATTTGTAGAGTCTTAGTTTGCCCTTTACACAGTGAATCAAAAGAACTATTTTCTGTTTTGTCCTTCATTTAAATTTTTCATGACCTCATAAAGAAAAACAAATTGAGGCCTCTCAGTCAATACACAATTTTGCAAGTTTCATTTCCTCTATGGGATATAAACATTTATACATGTACATGTACACATACTTTTTAATTTATGTTCAAAATTTGACAATTAGAGAGGTTGTGAACAAAGTACATACAAATTGTCAGTACTTGTTTCTTTTTTGCCAAGCAGCATTTAGAAGTCATAGTCACTGTCATTAAGACCCTTGTACATACTGTATAGTTAATGTCTGTCAGTACTGTCAGTACTATGATTTGTCACAGTCTCTTCATTACTTTGATCGTTAACTAGGTTTATCCTGTGAGGGAATCTACAGAATCTCAGGGGTGAAATCTAAGATCCAGATGTTGAAGGACTGTTATAACCGCGGGGCACCTGTTTACCTGGAGGAACATGAACCAAACATCATAGCGAGCCTCCTTAAACAGTTCCTCCGCGAGCTCCCTGAGCCCGTGCTGACCAAAGCTCTCATGTCAAAGTTTGAGGACGCCTCAGGTAATCTAACCCGTGCTGACTAAAGCACTCGTCAAAGTTTGGAGACGCCTCAGGTAATCTTACCTGTGCTGACTAAAGCACTAATGTCAAAGTTTGAAGACGCCTCAGGTAATCTAACCTGTGCTGACTAAAGCACTCATGGCAAAGTTTAAAGATACCTCAGGCAATCTTACCCATGCTGACTAAAGCACTCATGGCAAAGTTTAAAGATACCTCAGGCAATCTTACCCATGCTGACTAAAGCACTAATGTCAAAGTTTGAAGACGCCTCAGGTAATCTTACCCGTGCTGACTAAAGCACTCATGTCAAAGTTTGAAGACGCCTCAGGAAAACATTAGATTAGAGTTGCCTCAGGTTGACTAAGATCAAAGCAGCAGGAAAGAATAGAAAAGAGACACCTAAGATCACTCAGAGATTTCAGGTGAAATTGATTTTATCTATAAAGGTATACATGTACTAGATTATACCCTGTTATGGTGAGGTCACTCATATGCAGATGATTTGCATATCTGTAAATATACTCGTGCACATATATATTATTACATTGTATTTGCAAAAAATACTCTTGTAAGCATATTCACACCTTGTCAGGGACAGATGTAAATCTGTTTCTATGTAAAAGCAATATTACACTTGTTGATGTAGAAAGCTTTTTAGTAAACTTTCTACTGATGGAATGCTTGATTTTTAAATTCTCCAACCATTGTTTATCATTTAATTTATAAGAACATCATCTTGAACCAGATGCTTATTTGTAATTGCCCTTTAATTTTATACTCAATGAAACATCACACTAATCCCAAGAATTCTCTTGCTGTGGTATGAGGCCATTTTTATGGAAATCATGATTTTAATAATTATAAAATTGTAGATTACATGTATATTTACTCCCAGTACATAAAACATACAAGAACCTGCAGTATAAATTAACTCTTGCACACAGGATAAGTAAATGTACTCGTATAAATTTCTCGCTGTAAAATTTTCTCTGGAGATCTGAATTGATTCCAGATGCTGTGAATGCCTGAAATTGATATTCACAGAAATCAAGATTGGATTAATCTAATTGAATATTGTCAAGATCTTTTGCTCATTAGAAAATTATTATCTCTGATGAGTGAGCTACAGATTTGCTGCTACCCTAATATGACTGCAGACCTATTTTTGGCAGGGATTTACCAGGTTTTCCTATCTTATTGCGTCTATATTAAACAAGCATTATAAATGTAATTCATGATGTCCATTAATTTCACAATATATTTTTCCACGGAGAATGAAATTCACTTCGCTGTAAGCGTCAATTCATTATAAGCGTGTTCGCTATATTAAACGTTTTACTGTTACCTTTTCCTGTACGTTGCATACATGTAGCATCTAGTTACCATGGTTTTAGCAGCATATCCTTTGGTGTTATGAGAAATTTTGGTCATCCGTTCCAATTTTTACAGACATGAGCTACAGATCCACAGCTAAAATGGTTTTATTGAAGGCCTATTACTGACATAAATTTACTAAGGTTTTCTTAATTTATTGCATCTAAGTTGAGCATTTTTACTGAACCAAGCTTGATCTTTTTTTTCAGTGGTGCGAGGAGAGATAGCAAGATGTGAAGCATTCCGGAGATTAATTAATGACCTGCCTACGTGTAATAGACTTCTACTGTCGTGGATGATTGTCCATATGACTCATGTTATACAAAGGGTAAGACATCGTTAGATTTTAATAGACAACATCATTTTGAGACAGGCATCATGCATACATGTAAGTTATGAGTGCATGATTTGCTGTCTGTATGATTTTAAGTGTAGGAGTTATTTCCCTTTGTCATGACTACTTGGGTTTATCTAAGACTTGTTAATTAATTGCTGAGTTGAATCTTTCTCATAAGGTGACTCATTTAATTAATGATTGGAAAGTTATCTCAATGAAATATTCTCAAATTCCTTGTTGCACTTGATTTTTTAACCTTTAAAACATGTCTCTTTGTCTTTCAGATATTCAGTATCTTATCTTTCATGAATTTATAATAATAGATTTCATCAAATTCTTTGTTAATTAAGATCAAAGTTACTGTAATTGTTATGGTGTTGACAAGCATGTAGTATTCATGCAGAAATAGTCCTTAACCTCAGCACTCAGAAATTCAGACAATTTCCTCCTTGAGACTAAAAGTCCATAAAAATTTTATTAAAAGTTTTATTTATCAGGAGAAAGAGAACAAGATGAGCCTACAGAACGTGTCCATTGTCCTGAGTCCTACCATGCAGATCTCGCACAGAGTACTCAATGTACTGTTCCAATCCTCATCTAAACTCTTCTCAGACATCGAGATCAAAAAGTGAGTTCTCACTGTGCTGTTCCAATCATCATTTTAACTCTTCTCAGACATTGAGTAACAAAAAAAATGAGTATTTAATGTATTGCTGCAGTCCTTATTTAAACTCTTCTCCAACACTGAGCTCAAAAAGTGAGTTGTCAATTTAATGTGCTAGTCTAATTTGTTTCCCTTCTTTAAGATAAAGGAAATCCATTTTTCACAGAAAATCTAATGTCAGGTCATTGTTTTCAACTGTACACATTTGTGTCTCCTATGCAAAATAGATTGTAAGAAATAGTAGCAGAATTACCAGTCATTAAAATTTTAGGGTTACTCGGAATGAATAAATCAACCAAACACTTTTAAGTATAATTTATGTTTAATATTGATGTTATTTAATTTGATATGTTACTTTACTCATGAGAGCAAATGAAGCAGATGATGAATGAAAAAAAATTCATTTTAGTTCATAAATAATATGGAAGGTTGTGGCTTAAATTTAACAGATATTAACCTCCCTAAGTTCTTTTACTGATCATTATTTATGCCATTTTCTTTTATTCAGTTGAAGTCATTTTTCAGTTATTAACCAGTTATTTATTCCTGACAGATATAAACCCCCCATTAAGCCCACTACTTCCCGCTGGTCACTAGAACTCCCAGAATCCCTTGCTCCGATGCAGGAGGAACTGCAGAAGCAGGAGTCTCTGCTAAACGCTCTCCATGCAGAGATCAACGCCGGGTCCACAGATCAAGAGAAGGAGGAACAACTGTGGGAGGTCCAGCGAATCGTGACCCAACTCAAACGAAAGGTAAAAATCACATAATTGTGACCCAACTCAAACAAAGGGTAAAAATCACGTAATTGTGAACCAACTCAAAAGAAAGGTAAAAATCATATAATGGTGACCCAACTCAAATGAAAGATAAAAATTACATAATGGTGACCCAACTCAAACGAAAGGTAAAAATTACATAATCGTGACTCAACTCAAACAAAAAGTAAAAATCATGTAATCATGACCCAGCTCAAACGAAAGGTAAAAATCGTGTAATTATGACCCATTTAAACAAAAGTTAAAGTTCACGTAATCATGACCCAACTCAAACGAAAGGTAAAAATTACATAATCATGACCCAACTCAAATAAAAGGTAAAAATCACATAATCGTGACCCAACACAAAGGAAGGGTAAAAATCACGTAATTGTGAAACAACTCAAAAGAAATTTAAAAATCACATAATTGTGACCCAACTCAAACGAAAGGTAAAAATCGTGAAATCATGAACCAACTCATGTTTTGTAAGCTTGAACTGTAGACTCAACTTTAATGAAAAATAGAGTATAACTGTAGACTCAACTCAAACTGAAGACTCAACTCAAACAAAAGGTAGAGTAAAATTGAGACATCTAAAATTAAAAGTAAGGAAGATGTGGGTCATAGAGCAAATCATGACTAAATTCAAATGAAATGTACTGGAGAACTGTAGACTCAACTCTGAACTCAAACCATAGACTAACCTCAAACAAAAGGTACAAACATAGACTGAGATAAGCTTAAATCATAGAAGATCAATTCAGATGGAAGGTATGGGAAAGCTCACTGACAAATTGTAAACTCAGATATGATATTAAAGGAAAGAATGTGATCACATCACAAACACAAGATATAGTGAAAGAAGAAAAGCTTCTCTCAAACTGTGAACTCAGCTCACATGCTAGGTATAAATAATTAAGATATTGAGACTAACCTTAGATTTAGAATCAATTCAAAAGCAAGATATAGTGAAGGATCAAATTTAATCTCAAACTGTAAACTTTCTTAGAATAAGTAAAACCATATTATATTTGAATTTACAAGAGAGTCAATCTATTATCATTGGAGATTCATCTTTTGTAGATCAAACAAGCCCAGAAACAAGCAACAGAGAGAAAATTGAAGGATGAGTCGATCCCGCCCACTGTAACAGAGGAGGAGGAGTTGAAGCTTGATCTACAGGTGCCAGTCAAACAACAAGCCCCGCCCCCACCTCAGCAAGGTCAACCTACAGATCAAGAAGCCACACCTATATCAGAAACAGCTCATCAAGATGAATCTGACATGCAGCATGTCCCATCCCAGGAACAAGCCAATCAGAAGGAGGCTTACAGGGAGACAGAGGAGGCTGGTCAAACTTCAGCCAATCAAGAGCAAGAAGAGGAAATCTCTGATAAAGCTACAATTGATCAGATAGAAGAAACTTGCCCTACTTCAAAATCGGAGCAGGAACCTACCACAGAGAGAAAGGAAACTTTAGGAGATGATGTTGATTCCAGATCTGTGGAACCTGAGGAGACCCAAGATACTGTCACTGAAATGAAACAGGAAGTCAACCAAAAGGAGGAGAGTATAGAACAAACACAAAAAGGAAGTGAGGACCAAACAGAAAGTGTGGAAAAGGAAGTTACTGGACAAGAAGTGGAGGTTGATAAGTCAAAGGAGGGAGAACTGGTAAAAAGAATGAAGATATATATTTCAATTGTAATTAAAGTGACACGTTTTGATGCCTACTTATTTTGATGATGAATGTATAACTTTTAGCTGAGTATTAACATTGATGGAAGCTCTATAAGGCCTTAAGTTGTAATGTTTGTAACATATTTATTTTAAAATTAATGCTATGAATCAAAAAGCAAATTAGGCTTAAGCCAAAACTTAATTTTTGCACTGAAATGATGTAGATGTTAAAAAGATCAAAATAAAATTGTTACCTAGGATTGAATTATCAAAGTGCTCTTCCCTACATGTTCTAAGCTAAAAAGTATCTTACAACAACAAGTCTGTTGCATGGTCCTTGGACCAAATCAATCAAGAGAAAAAAATCTCATATCTGAATGTAGTCATCATTTATTATCAGTGTGATGCAGACAATTTTGTTTTATTCAAAAGGCCCCGCAACAAGAAGTTGAGGACATTGAGAAAACTGAAGATGTGGGATTTGACCAATCTGCTGGGGTTGACACAGCTGGTGTGTCAGTCAATGAGCAGGACGAATCTTCTGATGACCAATTTGAAAACACTGCAGAGAAAATTCTGGAGGCAGAGAGGGGTGTGGCACACAACTGGACAGATGAAAGTGAGGCTTGTGTAACAGATCAAGAAGAGGGGAGGTCACAGGTTAAAGGTCAACAGAGGTCAACTGAAGGTCAGGAAGAGGAAACTGTGCAGGAAGAGAGACAAACACTAGATGAAGTGGACGGGGAGAAACCAAATGATACATCATTGCAGGAAGAAATTGAAGAAGGTAATACTGAAAGTAATCTTTGTACGCATATTTCTAATCTGTAAAGCAGTTTTGTATTGATAGATCAGGAATTTGCTTATGATGATGGAGTGATTAACTTGTTGTATTAGAGCAATCAGTAGCATGTTGTTGGTCAGGGATGGGGTAATTGGTCAAAGTGAAAAAAAGTTAATGAACAGTGATCAAGCTCAAAAAATCTTAAAACAATACAAATCTGTGAATATGGGATAAAATGAGACCCCCAGAAATACCAGAGGTGGGATCAGGTGCCTAGAAGAGTAAGCATCCCCTGTTGATCTGGTCACACCCGCTGTGAGCCCTAGGTATTGATCTGGTCACACCCGCCGTGAGCCCTAGGTATTGATCTGGTCACACCCGCCGTGAGCCATAGGTATTGATCTGGTAGACGTACATGTAATATTCCGTATTCACATTCGTATAAAGACAAAGGCCTAACAATTGGTTGTAAACACATTGGCCAAAATACGACCCAATGATAAGTTATATTTGTTAACAAGTTCATTTTAACGACCATAGAATTTATGAAATGCTGATCAGGACTTTATTTACGATGTAATATGATATAGTTGTCATGTTTTACTTACCATGTAAAACAAACAATGACTTTGTTTATGATGAGAATTAGGTCATGTTATAGTTGTCACTTTATCTGTGTTCACAGATCAGGAGTTTGTTGATGATAAAGTTGTCATGCTGGTTTGATAGATCAGGAGTTTATTTATGATGATGATAAAGTTGTCATGCTGTTTTGATAGATCAGGAGTTTACTTATGATGATGTTAAAGTTGTCATGCTGTTTTATTAGATGAAGAGTTCGCCTATGATGATGAGATGATGAAGTTGCTGGAGGAAGAACAGGCCCTTATACTGGAGGAGGAGGAGCTTCTGGCTATAGGTAATGAATATTCATGATATACAATCATTTTGACAAAGAACATGATGGATATTCACGAGATAAAGAACAAATTATTCAAAATGTAAACTTATTTCAAAAAAATTACTACGACCTAAATCAGACAAATGACAGAGGTTCATTTTGGGATACATATAATCAGGTTAATACTTCTGATGTTAGTGTGGCTAATGCAATACTCTACTCTAGTTATTTGTTATAAACAAGTAAATATATTTCTCTTGCTTTGCTTCAGTATTACAGATGTTTCCTCATTTCTTTGTTTTCTCAGTACTTTGATTTCCTGCTTTGATACAGTGTCACAGATGTTTTTTTTGGTACTTTGTTTTCTCAGTACTTTGATTTCCTGCTTTGATACAGTGTCACAGATGTTTTTTGATACTTTGTTTTCTCTGTACTTTGTATTCTTAGTATTTTTTCTCTGCTTTCAGAACGAGAACTAAGAAAGAAAATTGAGACGGAGCGACACGAGGCGGAGAGACTGAATCAAGAAATCGATGAGCTGAAGTACCTGAGACAGGATTCCGATGTGGACGAGTACAGCTCCGAGTCTGACAGCAGCTACGAGAGCGAGGACGAGGAAGATCTACAGGAGATCCTCAAACAGCTGATAGCTCGTAACGAGGAACAGGAGGTAATAACAGGTGATAGCTCATAATGAGGAACAAGAGGTAATAACAGCTGATAGCTCGTAATGAGGAACAGGAGGTAATAACAGCTGATAGCTCATAATGAGGAACAGGAGGTAATAATAACAGCTGATAGCTCATAGCGAGGAACAGGAGGTAATAACAGGTGATAGCTCATAATGAGGAACAAGAAGTAATATCTATAGCTGATAGCTCATAACGAGGAACAGGAGGTAATAACAGCTGATAGCTCATAACAAGAGGTAATAACAGCTGATAGCTCATAACGAGAAACAAGAGGTAATAACAGGTGATAGCTCGTAACGAGGAACAGGAGGTAATAACAGGTGATAGCTCATAATGAGGAACAAGAAGTAATATCTATAGCTGATAGCTCGTAACGCGGAACAAGAGGTAATAACAGGTGATAGCTTATAATGAGGAACAAGAAGTAATATCTATAGCTGATAGCTCGTAACGAGGAACAAGAGGTAATAACAGGTGATAGCTCATAATGAGGAACAAGAAGTAATATCTATAGCTGATAGCTCGTAACGAGGAACAGGAGGTAATAATAACAGCTGATAGCTCATAACGAGGAACAGGAGGTAATAACAGCTGATAGCTCATAACGAGGAACAGGAGGTCATAACAGCTGATAGCTCATAATGAGGAACAGGAGGTAATAACAGCTGATAGCTCGTAATGAGGAACAAGAGGTAATAACAGCTGATAGCTGGTAATGAAGAACAAGAGGTAATAACTATAGCTGATAGCTGATAATGAGGAACAGGAGGTAATAACAACTGATAGCTCATAACTAGAGGTAATAATAACAACTGATAACTCATAAAGAAGAACAAGAGGTAATAACTATAGCTGAAAGCTGGTAACAATTAACAGAAAGTAATAACAACTGATACGTCATAAAGAGGAACAAGAGATAATGACCACAGCTGATAGTTTGTAACGAAGAACAAGAAGTCATAATAACAGGTGATAGCTCGTAATGATGAACAAGAGGTCATAATAACAGGTGATAGCTCGTAATAATGAACAAGAGGTCATAATAACAGGTGATAGCTCGTAATGATGAACAGGAGGTAATAACAGCTGATAGCTTGTAACAAAGAACAAGAGGTCATAATAACAGGTGATAGCTTGTAATGATGAACAGGAGGTAATAACAGCTGATAGCTCATAACGAGGAACAAGAGGTCATAATAACAGGTGATAGCTCGTAATGATGAACAGGAGGTAATAACAGCTGATAGCTCGTAACGAAGAACAAGAGGTCATAATAACAGGTGATAGCTCGTAATGATGAACTAGCTAAGGGATAACTGTGCTGTCACAGTTCTTATTTTTTATTTATTTTTGTTTGCTTTTTTGTGTAATTATATGGAGTGAAATATGTGTATTATTCAGATATCAGAAAGAGTTATCCTTCTTTGTAAATTTTTGAATTATCTTCCTTGAGTGGAAATCTTTTGTGTCAGGAGTTATCTCCCTCATTTTCTCGTGCAAGTTTTCATTCAGTCTGCCATTAGAGTTCCATCCATGAGGATGTACATGTAACATTCTACCTTCTTACGATTTGTGGCCTATTACCATGTAAGTTTTTATAGGAAACTTTTGTAACTTCATACCTATTATTTGTAAAGTTTTTTGGTGATTATTTATAGAGTTTTTGTGTATTGAAAACTTATTCAGACCGGTATTTTTTGTAAAGTTTAAAGTCACTGAAGTCACGAGAATTAGTTATTGTTATTCAATTTATCTAATATGCTTTATAGTAATTTGTTATTATGATAAGGTTTATAAGTGAGCTATTTCTATGGAACACCGTTATTGTCTTTTTGGTATATCAGTATTATAGTATTTGATTTTGTTTATTTCAGTTATTTACCTCATTCGCTCACTCGCTCATTCGCTTACTCGCTCGTGTAGACTCACTCGCTCACTTAGGCTCACTCACATAGGCTCACTTTGTCTCACTCACCTAGGCTCATTCGCTCATTCACTGATTGGAATATGAATTCGCTTGTTAATAAATATGGAACCAGTTACCATGTGTTCTTCAATGATCAAGTATGAGGTGTGAGGTGTGAGGTTTAGCTAGCTGTTCCAGACAGCATAGTAAATAAATGTCAATTGGCCAGAACCAAACCCAGAATTTGAGGATGAGTGATCATCATCAAGAAGAAGAAGATGACGAACACCAGATGGTTGATCAAGAAGAAGATGACAAAAACCAGGCCTCTGCCAGGCCGAAACGTCACAGGGATCTAACTGAGAAAGGTCAAGAACTCCTAGACAAACAGATTAACACTTACTCAGCTCGTTTACAAAAGTTATGGAAAAATGTAGACACTATCATCGAGGAAGTAGACCACACATCTTCTAAAAATCCAGAACTCATCATACATTTGAAATCACAATTAGAAACAAGAATAGATGCATTCGACGTACTCTTCAGTGAATTCTGTGGTTTTCTGGAAAGACATCGAACTGAAAAATGTGTACATGAACTTCAAAAACTCAAGTTTTCAAAGAAAGGATATTCTATCTTATTTGATACTGCTTTCAGAAAACTGAATGCATTGTACCAACAGTCACCACAGCTTCATGAACAGAAACCACCTCAGGAAGAAGATGTTCATTCAAATAGGTCAACTAAGAGATCACAAGAAAATGCCTCACAAACTTCTTCAATCAGCAGTAAACAAAGCTCATTGTCTGAAAAGAGAAAGAAAGCAGAAATTGCCCGTGCCAAATTAAAATATACCGAACTTGAAATGAAAATTAAGAAGGAACAATCTCTTCTAGCATTAGAAAGAGCTAAGTCTCAGAAAATGACAGACGATTTAGAAGCAGATCTACAATTACTATCTGTTAAAAAGGAAGTCGCAGTTGCTGAAGCGGAAATTCTCAGTGAAGAGGAAGGAAGTCAGTGTGGTCATAGTGATACATGTATTAAACATTTAGAGAGTGTTGACAGTAAAGAACGTACAAAATCATATGTAGAGCAACATGCTCAAATCAGAACTCAAAATAAAAACATTTGTGTAGAACCTGAAACTATTGTGAAAGAAAATGTTAATCAACATAGTCAGAGTTGCATTCCAGAACCTTGTACATCTATACTGAATCCTCAGGCTCTTCCATACTTTCCACCACAGCCGTCCTGGAGTGTAGGAGGACAAGCAGTGACTTCAGATTTCACTCGTTATCTCTTGAAAAAAGACTTGATGCTTTCACGTCTCATCAAATTTAATGACAAACCTGAATTCTACCCGTCATGGAAAGCAACCTTTAAATCTGTTATGAGAGACTTACAAGTGACACCAGAAGAGGAAATTGACTTTCTTATCAAATTCACTAGTCTATCAGCACAACAACAGATTATCAGCATTAAAGCAGCAAGTGCCAGCAATCCAGTGCATGGACTTCAGAGAATTTGGCAAAGATTAGAGGAGAGATTTGGTTGTCCTGAAATGATAGAATCTGCTTTAAAAACAAAACTGAACTCATTTGCTCCTATTACATCGAAAGATTATCGTCGTCTATATGACTTGTCTGATATTTTGGATGAAATCCTAGCAGCAAAAGAAGATATCCGTTACCAGTCATTACTTGCATATTTTGATGCGTCGACAGGAGTGACACCTATCGTCATGAAGCTTCCGTACCAACTTCAAGAAAAATGGACGAATACAGCAATGAAATACATAAGTGAACATCATGTTGTGTTTCCCCCATTTCATGTATTTGCAAACTTTATTCGTGAGCAAAGCCGTATCAAGAACAATCCCAGTTTTGCTTATACAGATAGAAACTTGCATATGCAGAAACACAGTGACAAAACTCTGAAGATTTCAAACAGGAAAACAGCTGTGTCTCGGCAACCACAGATTCTTCGTAACTCAGGAAAAGAAAACCAGTGTCCCCTTCATAAGACAAACCATTCCTTGGAACAGTGCAGAGCTTTCAGAACAAAGCCATTTGACGAACGGAGGAAGATCTTGAAAGATAACAATTTGTGTTATAGATGTTGTTCAAGAGATCATAAACAAGCAGAGTGTCATTCTGATGTGCAGTGTGGAGAATGTGGAAGCAAATTTCACACATCACCATTACATGTGAACAGGACAAAAGTTCAGACTTCATACCCTTGGAGAAACTATGGCGGGGAGAATTTCACTGAGAGACAAGTTTTAGATTCTGAAAATGTGAACAACCCAGCTGTGAATTCTAAGTGTACACAAATCTGTGGACAAACATTTGGTGGAAAATCTTGTGCTAAAACCATTCTGGTGCATGTGTACCCAAAACACTGTCCGCAAAAATCTGTGAAAATTTATGCAGTGATTGATGACCAGTCAAACAGAACACTAGCTAAACCAGAACTCTTTGATCTTATGGACACTCATGGAACTATGACAAATTACCTGTTAACATCTTGTTCAGGAAAAGTTCAAAGGTCAGGACGTAAAGTTCATGGATTAGTTGTTGAGTCATTAGATGGACAAAACTGTATAGATATACCTACCATCATTGAGTGTGATGAAATTCCTGAAGTCAGAGAGGAAATTCCTACACCAGATGTAGCCCTACATTATGAACATTTGCATGACATTGCTGATCACATACCACCAGTTGATCCTAATGCAGAAATCCTGTTACTGATAGGAAGGGACATAACCAAAGCACATCACGTTTTAGACCAACGCATTGGATTGGGAAATCAACCCTATGCCCAAAAACTGTCCCTTGGTTGGACTATCATTGGTGAGACTTGTTTGGGAAAAACCCATAAACCAGATGTCATTAATGTCATGAAAACTTGTGTTCTACCTGATAGCCGTCCAACTCTGATGCTACCTTGCAACAGTAACTTACAGGTCAAAGAAAAAATCCTCAATGAAACCTCAACAAACATCATGTGTACAAAAACTGAAATTGGTGAAAGTGTTTTTCAGAGGACAGAGAATGATGAAAAGTTAGGACTTTCTATGGATGATCATGAGTTCTTAGACATCATGAATTTAGAATTTACAAAAGATCTTGATGGACATTGGCAAGCTCCACTTCCTTTTCGTAAGGACCGTCAAAGACTAGTAAACAACTATGATCAAGCTAGGAAGAGAGCAAAACAGTTAGATTACACTTTGCAGAAGGATCCTACAAAGAAAGAACATTTTGTGGAATTTATGGATGCATTGTTCAAGAATCATCATGCAGAAATAGCACCGCCTCTACAGAATGGAGAAGAGTGTTGGTACTTACCATTGTTTGGAGTTTACAACCCAAAGAAACCAAACAAAATTCGAGTTGTGTTTGATTCTTCAGCAAAATTCGAAGGAAAGTCGCTTAACGACGTACTACTTACCGGACCAGACTTGACAAACAGTCTTCTGGGTGTTTTACTACGGTTCCGCAGAGAGAAAGTCGCATTAATTGGAGATATTGAACAGATGTTTTATTGTTTTAAAGTCTGTGAACCTCATCGAAATTTCTTGCGATTTCTATGGCATGAAGACAACAATCCTGAAAAGAGACTGATCGAATACCGTATGACTGTTCACGTCTTCGGAAACAGTCCCTCGCCAGCCATCGCAACCTACGGATTACGCAAGACTGTGAAGGAAGTAGAAGATATGTTTGGGACAGATGTAATTCAGTATGTAGAACGTGATTTTTATGTGGATGATGGATTAACATCACAACCTACTGTAGAAAAAGCTGTGGACCTAATGAAAAGAACACAGAAAGCATTGAGTTATGGGAAATTACGTCTACACAAAATAGCTTCAAACAACCAGGAAGTTATGAACGCTTTTCCACCTAGTGATCTGTCAAGTGAAATGAAAGACTTGGATTTATCAAAAGACAATCTACCAACACAGCGCAGTCTAGGACTTAATTGGGACTTACAGTCAGATTCGTTTTTCTTTAAAATTTCAAATGATGTCAAACCATTCACAAGAAGAGGTGTGTTATCAACAATAAATAGTATATTTGACCCCCTAGGATTTCTCGCCCCAATTATCATCCAAGGCAAGTCACTTATGAGGAATCTACTTCAAGAAACGGTCAACTGGGATGAACCTTTACCAGAAAATCAGTCTACTCAGTGGGAAAAATGGAAAAATTCCTTACAACATCTCCAAAATCTACACATCCCAAGAGTTTACATAGAACTGACTCAGTCGTGGAGTGAGACAATGAACAAAACAATTCACATTTTTTGTGATGCTTCAGAATCAGCAATATCAGCAGTGGCCTATGTAGAATCACAAGGAAACTTTGGATTTATCCTCGGCAAATCAAAACTTGCGCCCTTAAAAGGACATTCGATACCACGTTTAGAACTTTGTGGCGCTGTGCTAGCTGTGGAAATTGCTAAGTGTGTATCAGAACAGCTAGAATTACCGATTGAACATTTTAAGTTTTACTGTGATAGTAAAGTAGTGTTGGGATATATTTTCAACAATTCAAGGAGATTCTATCAGTATGTGGCAAACAGAGTGATGCAAATTCGTAAAGTGACCAAACCAGATCAGTGGTCATACATATCAACAGACAAAAATCCAGCTGATCAAGCAACAAGACAGATACCAGTTAAAGCTCTACAAAACAGTACTTGGCTCTTAGGACCATCACCTGCACACTTACAACAGATTCAGCACCCATGCGTATCTTATGAGATGGTGGACCCAGATTCAGACAGGGAAGTCAGACAAGAAATCACTTGTCTAAAGGTTGACATCTCTAGACTTGGACTGAAATCAGAAAGATTCTCATGTTTTTCGCAATGGAGGAAACTTGTTGAAACTATTGCCAGACTTCAGCATATAGCACATTCCTTTCAACAAGGAGACAGTAAATGCTCTGGGTGGCATGTGTGTGAAGATTCAAGAACTGTGGAAAATTTCAACAAAGCTGAGAAACTTATCATCAAAATTGTGCAGAATGAAGTGTATTTAGAAGAAATTCAGTGCATATTGAAAGAAAAACCTCTACCTAGAGATAGTAACATTTTACCTCTTTCGCCATTCTTGGATAAAGATGGAATACTGAGAGTCGGAGGACGTCTCAACAAAAGTTCTTTACCAATCAATGAGAAAAATCCAGTGATAATACCCAGAAACCATCATATAGCGTTGTTGATTGTTCGTGACTATCATGAACTCTGTAAACATCAAGGTCGCCACTTAACAGCAGGAGCGATTCGTAGTGCTGGATTCTGGATAATAGGAGCCAGAAAATTAGTTTCATCCATACTTCACAACTGTGTCAAATGCAGAAAATTACGTGGAAAGCTATTGTGTCAAAAAATGTCGGACCTTCCTACCGATCGTTTGGAGCCTAGTCCACCATTTACTTACATTGGCCTGGATACGTTTGGACCATGGGAGATAGTTACTCGTCGGACGCGTGGAGGATCTGCAAACTCGAAAAGATGGGCAATCTTATTTACCTGCCTTACAACGAGAGGAATTCACATTGAAGTTGTGGAGGAGTTAAGCTCTTCATCATTTATCAACGCCTTTAAGCGGTTTGAAGCCATTCGAGGAAAAGTTACCCAAATTCGTTCAGATCAAGGAACCAATTTCGTGGGTGCTATAAATGACCTGAAAATTGATTCAACTGGACTCAACTTGGAAGACGGTAAAATCAAAAACTTCCTTTATGAGTGTGGAACTACTTGGAAGTTTAATCCACCCCACTCTTCGCATATGGGTGGCGCATGGGAACGCCTCATTGGAGTAGTAAGACGTGTGATTGATGCAGTTATGTTGGAGATACCAGCTAGATCACTAACTCATGAAACACTGACGACATTTATGGCAGAAGTTTCAGCAATCGTAAATGCCAGACCATTAGTCCCCTTATCGGAAGATGCAGATGAACCGTACCCTCTGAGCCCTTCCATGATACTTACCCAGAAAACTCCTGTGATCGTCGACCTTCCTGTTGACAAGATGAACATGTATCAAGCTCAGTGGAAACGTGTACAGCATATGGCAGATTTATTCTGGACACGCTGGAGAAAAGAGTATCTTTATACTTTACAGATTCGTCGCAAGTGGACGCGTAGTGAAAGAAACATTACACAAGGTGATATTGTGTTACTTCGCGATAAAGATGTTCATCGTAACCTTTGGCCTATGGGTGTCATTGTGAAAGTGTTTCCCAGTGATGACGGGAAAGTTCGTAAAGCTGAAATTCGTGTCGCGAAACGCGGTTGCCAGTCGTCAACATTCATTCGTCCAGTTACAGAGATGGTGCTGCTACTATCCAATGACATTGATGTATAGCTTGTAATTGTATATGTGATGTTAGAAACATCAGACGGGGAGTGTGCTGTCACAGTTCTTATTTTTTATTTATTTTTGTTTGCTTTTTTGTGTAATTATATGGAGTGAAATATGTGTATTATTCAGATATCAGAAAGAGTTATCCTTCTTTGTAAATTTTTGAATTATCTTCCTTGAGTGGAAATCTTTTGTGTCAGGAGTTATCTCCCTCATTTTCTCGTGCAAGTTTTCATTCAGTCTGCCATTAGAGTTCCATCCATGAGGATGTACATGTAACATTCTACCTTCTTACGATTTGTGGCCTATTACCATGTAAGTTTTTATAGGAAACTTTTGTAACTTCATACCTATTATTTGTAAAGTTTTTTGGTGATTATTTATAGAGTTTTTGTGTATTGAAAACTTATTCAGACCGGTATTTTTTGTAAAGTTTAAAGTCACTGAAGTCACGAGAATTAGTTATTGTTATTCAATTTATCTAATATGCTTTATAGTAATTTGTTATTATGATAAGGTTTATAAGTGAGCTATTTCTATGGAACACCGTTATTGTCTTTTTGGTATATCAGTATTATAGTATTTGATTTTGTTTATTTCAGTTATTTACCTCATTCGCTCACTCGCTCATTCGCTTACTCGCTCGTGTAGACTCACTCGCTCACTTAGGCTCACTCACATAGGCTCACTTTGTCTCACTCACCTAGGCTCATTCGCTCATTCACTGATTGGAATATGAATTCGCTTGTTAATAAATATGGAACCAGTTACCATGTGTTCTTCAATGATCAAGTATGAGGTGTGAGGTGTGAGGTTTAGCTAGCTGTTCCAGACAGCATAATAACAATTACAAGTGATAACTCGTATTGAGGAACTAGAGATAATAATAACAGCTGATACCTAAAATCAGGAGGTAAAAATAATAGATGTTACATGAAGTGTAAGCTACCCTTTTATTAGCTCACCTGAGTCAAAGGCCTAAGTGAGCTTTTCTGATCCAAGAGTGTCTGGCATCTGTCTGTCTGTAAACTTTTTGCATTTTCAACTTCTTCTCAAGAACCACTGGGCCAATTTAAAAGAAAAACTTGCCACAAAGTGTTCTTGGGTGAAGGGCATTTAAGTTTGTTCACAGGAAATGCCATGCCCTCTTTCAAAGGGAGATAATTAACTAAAGAATTCGTGAAAATTTGGTGGCATCTATTAAAATCTTCTTCTCAAGAACCACTGGGCAAGAAAAGATGAAACTTATGTGAAAGCTTTGTAACTTAACTTTAGATTCAAATTTGTTCATATCATAACCCTTGGGGGGTAGGGTGGGGCCACAAGAGGGAGGTCTTAGTTTATGTAAGAAATGTCTTTAAAAATTTTCTTCTCAAGAACAGCAAAGTTTTTTTTCAAATCATGACCAATGGAGGTAGGGTGGGGCCAAAACAGTGGGTCAAAGTTTTACATAGGAATATATAGTTGTAATGGTTAAGGGGCATTTAAGTAAAACGCATTGAAGATTTCAAATATTGGAATGACCTGACAACCCCTGGAACTAGACTAGCCAAACCAAAGGTTTATATAAGGCAAAGCTTTGAGAAAGTCAGGCATACAGAAGCTATCAGAAGAAGTCGGACGTTGAATCAGCAGTAAAGAAGTTATGGGTAAGAGCAAAATAAAAGTATAAAAGTTATCAACACCAGTGGCCTAGTCCTAGGGAATTTTTAAGTTTAGGGTGTAGTAAATCTAAAGAAGATTGAGACACCAAGTTCTTATCTATCAATGGGAACCTAGGGGAGAAACACAGTGCAAGTAATACCTTACCCAGTCCCCATCTCTAGATGAAAGAGAAAATTTAAGTACTATGTGATATACCCTCAGACAGAGCTGTCCTAATAATCATTCCAATCATTAACTCAGAGCAAAAGGAAAACCTATATATCCCTTTTAAGAATCTGATCATACACTTTACATAGGAAATATCTTTAAAATCTTCTTCTCAAGAACAACTAAACCATTATTAGTCATGAGACCGCGGAACATTAACTGGCAAAATTGGAAATATGCAGTTTACGTCATTTCCATCTGTTACAATCAAAACATTTAATGATAGACAATGGAATGGGTGGGTACAATTCGGCACGGACGTCCGAGAAAACATTGGATTGAAATTCTAATTTGAAAATCATTTTCAATCCACCTCAGCTACACTAGAAGGCAATGAGTTGCTGATTGACCCAGAAGACAAATAATTTCAATTTCAGAATATTTTGAAGTTTAAATATATAAATCAGAATTTCTGACCAGTGTTTTTAAAGAAATATAAAGGGACAAATATTTGATTTCTGTTAGGTATGTGCATGCATGTGGTGGGGGGTGGAGGGGGCTGAACGATCTTGGAAATAAAAAAGAAAGTTTTTTTATAGTTTGGACAACCCCTCCCTGTTTTTGATTGTCAAACATTTTTCAGTGAAGACAAAACTAAAGAAAATACCTCTTGTCATCTTAGATATAAATAAATTTTGTCATGTGAAGGCAGGATCTGACTCGACAATTTTTAACCCCCCCCTTTCTAGAATCAAATTGCCATCCCCTGAAAAAATAATCTCTGTCTTCTATGACGTTTACGTGTCCTTAAAATTATAACCTAAAAACTCATATAAACAATGATAAATATGAATTTCAAACAACGTATTTGGGAATTGAAATTATTTGCCTTTTGGATCATACATTCACACCCTGCATTTGAAAACAGCTCAGGTGGAGTGAAAATGAATTTCAAACTAGAATTTCAATCCGATGTTTTCTCAGATGTCGGTGCCGAATTGTACCAGCCCATTTCATTGTCTATCATTAAATGTTTTGACTGTATATTTCCAATTTTGCCAGTTAATGTTCCGAGGTCTTATTTATACAGAAGAAACCTTAGATATTGTACAATGAAGTTTGTTCAATTATGACCCCCAGGGGTTTGGGCACAACAGAGGGCCAAAGTTCTGCATAAGAATATATAGGAATCATCTTGAAAAAATCTGCTGCTCAAGAACAGGAAAGCCATGATTAATCATTATATTATAGAAGCATCCCCAAGTAGTGTAGATTCAAATTTGTTCAAATTTAGCTTGGGTAGGGTGGGACCACAATGAGCGATCAGAGTTTTACATAGGAATACATAGGGAATAAAATCTTTAAAATCTTTCAAATTATTCTGTTTAAGAACAGCAAAGCCATGATTAGTAATATTGATATGGAAGCATCCTGAGGTAGTGTAAATTTAAGTTTGCCCCCACCTCCCCCCGTTCAAAACTGAACTGATTTCTGCTTCTTCTTAGCCTATGTGCTCAGGTGAGTGATGTGGCCCATGGGCCTCTTGTATTAATTTTTACTCTATGCAGTGTATATGTTTGATAAAAACCTTTATGTATTTTTATAAATGTCTCTGTTTCTGTTCATTTACAATTACTTGTAGTCTTAAATAGATTTTTGTAACTTTGAATTCATTTTCATATTTAATATATTTAGTTTACATCCTTTGATAACTTTTTTTTTCTAGAGGAAGAATGCCGAGTTGTGCAGTAAAATTCATGAGGAGAGGATGATATGTCTGGATGTCAAAGTCCAGATCCGGATGTTACAACAAAAACAACTGGAGAGTTCACTCAGTATACAGGCCATACTGGGATAACAACAACTGTAGACAACTGTAGATAACAACACAGTAGCAAGAACAACAAAAATAAACAACAGAATGGATAATAACAACAGCAATAGATAACAAACAGATGATAACAAACACAGACAACATTTTACATCATGAATAACATTATTTCATCTGGACAAGAAGTTTTTAGCTCACCTGAGCCGAAGGCTCAAGTGAGCTTTTCTGATCACATTTTGTCCGTCGTCCGTCCGTCCGTCTGTCCGTCTGTCTGTCCGTCTGTCTGTCTGTCTGTCCGTCCGTCTGTAAACTTTTCACATTTTTGACTTCTTCTCAAGAACCACTGGGCCAATTTTGACCAAACTTGGTACAAAGCATCCTTGGGTGAAGGGAAATTTAAATTGTTAAAATGAAGGGCCAAGTCCCCTGACAAGGGGAGATAATCAAGAGAAGACAAAAATAGGGTGGGGTCATTAAAAAATCTTCTTCTCAAGAACCACAGGGCCAGTAAAGCTGAAACTTATATGGAAGCATCCTGGGGTAGTGTAGATTCTAAATTGTTCAAATCATGACCCCCGGGGGTAGGGCAGGGCCACAATGTGGAATCAATGTTTTACATAGAAGTATATAGGAAAAATCTTTAAAAATCTTCTTCTCAAGAACCACTGGGCCAGAAAAGCTGAAACTTATGTGGAAGCATCCTGGGATAGTGTAGATTTTAAATTGTTCAAATCATGACCCCCGGGGGTAGGGCGGGGCCACAAGAGGGAGTCCAAGTTGTACATTGAAATTAATAAGAAAAATCTTTTAAAATTCTTCTTCTCAAGAACCACTGGGCCAGAAAAGCTGAAACTTATGTGGAAGCATCCTGCGGTAGTGTAGATTCTAAATTGTTCAAATCATGACCCCCGGGGGTAAGGCGGGGCCACAATAGGGAATCCAAGTTTTACATTGAAATATATAAGAAAAATCTTAAAAAATCTTCTTCTCAAGAACCACTGGGCCAGAAAAGCTGAAACTTATAGGGAAGCATCCTAGGGCGGGGCCACAATAAGGAATCCAAGTTTTACATTGAAATATATAAGAAAAATCTTAAAAAAATCTTCTTCTCAAGAACCACTGGGCCAGAAAAGCTGAAACTTATATATGGAAGCATCCTGGGGTAGTGTAGAATCTAAATTGTTCAAATCATGACCCCCGGGGGTAGGGTGGGGCCACAATAGGTATATTAAAAGGGGGAAATCTGGTAAAGAACAGCATGGCCAAAGTTACTCAGGTGAGCGATGTGGCCCATGGGCCTCTTGTTTTTTTATATTACAATCATATTGGCTTCAGCAGAATAACAAATTCCAACAGACAATAAAGAGAAGAAGGGAAATTTAAGAATGCATTTAAAAAAATATAACAAACAACTGTATGACGATTTTCTTTTATTTCTGTTATTGACATTAAGACTTATTGATCCTAGTCCTATCCATATGATGTATGCTTTATTATTGTACCTGTTTATTATGTATATAAAGTTTATCACCAGTAATAGGATAAAGGAGAGACAGACATTATTCTCTGTCTTTACATATTTGTAATATTGTCACAGAGAGATGATGAAGTTTGAAGCAATTGTAACACACTTCTGTTTTCAAATTGATTCTTTCTTGATCACATCTCCTTAAACACACACACACGGAAATCTTGGATCCCCTCCTGATGATTTGAGGTTAAGTTTTACATTTATGTATTATTACTCATATTGTGCAATAGATCTACAAATAAAGTTACAATATTAGTTAAAAAAATGTTTTATTGCTTTGAGATAATTATTTAATGAAATATGTGGAGATCACGAACAGTATTTGAGCTCCAAAGTCTGTTAAACATTACAAAATAGAAGCAGAGCAAACACAGACCTCTAAGACATCAGAGGTGGGATCAGGTGCCATAGAGGAGTTTTTCTATGCATAGATCTGTAATAATAAGAAAATAAATGAAGCTGTTCAATCTTTTTGTCCTAACTAAATGTATTGTAAGATTAAGTTACCTCCCTTTTGACACTCAGCTAGTATATGCACTTCCTGCTATTTTTGAACAATTTGATATTCATGTCTTATTACTTGTGATATATTTATATCTACACTCTGGATTATCATTCAATCTAATTTTCGTTTATTTTGTCTAAGAAAATAAGAGACTGTCCTTCAAAATGACTTCAAATTGTATAAAATTTAAATGTAATGTCAGTTGGATCGATACGTTTTTGAAGCAATTCATCGTGACGTAGGCAACACAGTTTTTACGATATAAAGTAATTTTTCATCCAATCAAATGGCGCGTTACAATTAAAATTAAATTATTGTTAAGTCAATCTCCAACGAACATTTTGGAAATAAAAATGTTGAGTAATTATTATTATGAATTGGCATTGAAACTAATCATAAGACAGTGCCAGAACCATTTTTTCAACTATAGAAATGTTGGTTGATCATTAGGAAAGATCTTAGTTTTTGACCAATGCAATAAATGGAAAATCATAAATTTTCAATAGAACATTTTCTGAACAGTGGTGCACGCAGTTTTTTGATAATTTAAATCGAGCTTTATAAGTCGAAATTGAACAGTATCCCAAAGAATACAAAGCTCTTCTTGTCATGTAAATACAGAAGTAAAACAAGTTTATTTCCAAAAATAAGAAAGAAATAGTCACATTTACCTTCGCTGCTTTCATGATTTTGGCAAGAAAAATTGGCAGAATTTATACCCTTTGCCAAAATCTCGGATTTACAAGAGCAGCAAATAACACATCTTTTTTTAATTAAGAGTTGATTTTCATTAACATAGCTATCAATCAATCATTAACATAGCTATCAATCAATCATTAACATAGCTATCAATCAATCATTAGCATAGCTATCAATCATTAACATAACTATCAATCAATCATTAACATAGCTATCAATCATTAACATAACTATCAATCAATCATTAACATATCTATCAATCAGTCATTGACATAGCTAGATTTTTTCTGTATATTTTCGTGATTCAGAAGAAAATTGCAAAAATGTTTCATTAAAATAAAATGGAGGAAAAGATTCATAAAAAGTTGATTATAAATCTTAAAAGAACCGTATTGTCATGTAAATACTAATTACACTCTGTTTTGATAGAATTGAATTCAGTTGAAAAGACTGAGGTCTATAAAAGTGATGACTGATTGCAACATTTCAACCTTGATTTAATGTTGGAACATTGATTGAAATAAAGCTGTGTTATAGTAGAGAAAAGGTTGCAACTGAAAAAAAATGGGTTATTGGGCTAAAAAAAGGGGGTGATACTGGTATTTGATTATAATGTTCATAATAATTATCGGTAAGAACAACTTAAAATATATTGGTTAAAACCACATTTAGTTGATATAGAGAGGGTATCTTTCTTTTATAAATTCTAGAAGTCCTAAGAAATACCATTGATAGCTTACTATCCAGATAATGCAATAAATAAAAAGGAAAAAAAAATGTTTTCTAAAAGTAATTGATAATTGTTAATTAAAAAATAATATTTGATAAAAAAAAAAATAAATAAAAATTACGATGCTGAGCAAGTAATGAAAATAAATAAGTGGCCCTGCTTGTACGAGTATTAAGAACAACCATCTTTCGAAGACATTAATTAAAATGAACAATTTTGTAACGCAATTCAGACGATAATATATCCCCCAACGTGTTTCTTTTATCTATATACAGATGATAATTCATAATGACGATAAAGTATATAAATATTCTGTATGACGCCGTGCTTCCTTTTACTTGTTCACCTGCTTTCATTTCCGTTTAGTCGTTAAGTTATCACACAGTATGATAAAATAAAGACAATTCTGTGTTTTATCGATATTCCTCTACAGAATGTAGATAAACCTTTGGAGCTGAGAGAGAATGTTTACACTTTTCTTTCTTTAAAAATATGTAAATTGTACACAAAACAGTAATATAAAATTGAAGATTTTGGATTTTAGAACATACACTTTTTTTTGAATATGTATATTGATATGAGTACCAGTATTTCTAGGAAGTTGATTTATTTCCTTTTCGCCTCAGGTAAGAAAACTTAATTTAATTTAATTAAAAAAAACATATTTTTACAAATACGTGCAATTTCAGTTTTGGAATAAATTTTAGAATAAATATGTAGATAAGTGTATAGTTTCAGTTATTCAGTTCCTGTATTTAGGGTTTTCTTGTCCATAGAACTAATTAAAAGGTTTGACTATTTTTTTTTTTTAGAAAATATTTCAAATAACCCCTTTTTTATTTCAAGAAAGAAACCAATGCTTAATCTATTCTATTAAGTCTTGAATATTTCAGTTTAATAAAATCTAAAAAATTATTTCTTTAAAATACAACTTAGTATTGAAATTAGAATAAAACCTGTTCAGCAAAGAAAAACACCATTTTGTGTCAATCAGAAAAGAAAATGTTCAAAGTTGTATTTTTCAATAGATTTAACCAATTGCCTCATTTCTCCTTGAATAAGAGGATGTTTGTTTACCTCCTTTTATTAAAGGTGCTTAGACACAGATTTGAACTTAATATTTTCTCAAATTTTCTGTATAATATCACGGCTTATATATTGCAATAGCAATTCACACGAAAATATAATTAAAAACTTATTTTATCTGGAAATTATTACGAATTCCGGGACGTGTTTGATTAACACATCTTTGCACTTACACAAATTTTAACTTTATCCTTAATAAAGTTATCTTATCCTTTATCCTTAATATTTAAGAGAAGAAGTGATTTTGTTATGTATTAATGAAAACTATTACATCTAAAATCCAGAAGATTCAGAGTAGAAATGTTCGAAAGTAAAACCAACTCACCAGTATTGTCAGTCCGGGCTCTGTGATGTGTACAGAGTTTAACAAATTGAACACACCCGTGAAGCGGAAACTGTTTTGTTAAACAAGGCACAAGCTCTGTTATTGTTAATACGTCTTGACAGAAATAGGTATGGAGGAGGAGTTGCAATGTATATATCCAATGAGCTTGAATTTTATGAGCGTAAAGATCTGCATACTAATAATGTAGAAATTCTGTGGTTAAGAAAAAATTTCTTGTTGGTGTATTGTATAGGCCACCCAATTCATTAGCAGACTATTGGAACAGTTTTTGCTCCAACATTGAAAAGGTTCAGGAATGTAATTTACCTATCATTCTATTAGGTGATTTTAATGTTAATTTTTTGTCTGATCAAAGTTCACAATTTAAACTTCTCTTACAAAGGTTTGGCCTCTCGAATTTGATACATGAACCTACCAATTTTACTCTAAGTTTAGGTACATGCATAGACCTAATCATTACCAACAACACTGGCATAATAAATGAAAGTTTTGTCTATCCTCCATGTTGTAGTAGTCATTCTATAACTGGAGTGGAAGTTAAATTTCATATACTGAAACAGTATGCTTATAAAAGAGAGATAAGGGACTATAAAAGTGCTAATTATAGAGGTCTTAATGATGAATTAAATGCAACTAATTGGGAGAAGGAAATCTTTAATTCTAACAACATCAACGAGATAAATACAAACTTTGTAAACAAAATAAAAACATGCATTAAAAAACATATCCCAACTAAAACTATAACAATTCGTCCCAGAGATAAAGCATTCATGAATAATTCTATTAGAAAGCTAATGAGGAAAAGAAATCGTATACACAAGAAAGCAGTCAAAACTCAAAACCCTCATCATTGGGAACACTATCGTAATTTAAGAAACAAAGTCATTGATGAAATTCGAGTTTCTCGAGATAGACTCAACCAAAAACTTTCTGACCAAATAGATAAATCTATACCCCCTGGAAAATGGTGGAGAATAGTTAAATCTTTGTCCAAACAAAATAATAAAGACAAACCACCACCACCTTTAAAGTCATCAAATCATACATACTTTCACCCTATTGAAAAAGCTAACTTACTTAATGAATATTTTGTCTAATACATGGGCAATAGAATTCAATCCTAGTAAAACTGTTAATTTAGATTTTAGCAGGAAAAACTTTTGTCATCCAAAAATTAGATTTGGTGAAGATGGGCCTACTATTCAAAATGTTGAAACACATACTCATTTAGGGATAAGATTTCAGCAGGATGGTAATTGGAGATCCCACATACTTGATATTCATTCCAAAGCCTGTAATCGATTAAATATCTTAAGAATGTTAAAGCACACCCTTAAGCGGGATGCTTTGATAAAAATATATTTTGCTTTTATTCGTCCTGTTCTTGAATACTCAGACATTGTATGGGATAATTGTACTGATAGAGATGCAAAATTACTAGAAGATGTTCAAGTTGCAGCTGCACGAATAATTACAGGCTTAAGGACTAATTCATCAAGATCAAAACTTTATGAAGATCTTGGCTGGGATACACTTGAAATAAGAAGAAAAATACATAAACTAGTGTTATTTTATAAAATAGTGTATGGATTAGCTCCCCAGTATTTGCAAGATTTATTACAACAATGCATTTTACCACAGAATTCTTATCCTTTAAGGAATCAGGACAATCTTACATTTCATATTCCTCAAGCCAAAACGACTTCATTTATGAAAAGTTTCCTTCCTTCAACTATAAGACTTTTGAATGATTTACCCTTTAATATTCGAAACCTTTCTACACTTTCATCATTCAAGACTGCCATAAAGAATATATACTGCTTAAAACCTAAGAAATATTACAACTATGGAAGTCGTAAAATGAATATATTACATTGTCAATTGCGAAATAATGCTAGTAATTTAAATGCTGATTTATTTAATCATTTTTTAAGGGAAGATCAAAATTGTGACATGTGCGGATATAGCTCTGAAACACCATTTCACTTTTTTATGAAATGTCCAAAATATTGTGTACAAAGGCAAAACCTTATGCAAAACTTTAATACTTTGCAATTACCAATGCCTATATCCTTACAACTTATTTTGAATGGAGACAATAATCTTACTTACAACCAAAATATTGCCGTATTTAAAATTGTTCAAGAATTTATTGCATCTACAAAGAGATTTGCATGATATTTATTCTTCTTTTTTTTTTAAATTTTGTCAAACCACAGAACCAACATTTATTTATGTGTTCTTATTAACTTTCACATTTATACTTGTATTATTATAATTATCAGTCATATATGTTAAATGCAAACTTATATAGTATCATCAGCTCATTTATATTTTTTTTTCCCTTACTTATTTTGTCTTTTATATATATATATATATATATATATATATATATATATATATATATATATATATATATATATATATATATATATATATATATATATATATATATATGTATGTATGTATCTTTAGAATATACACATGTATATATTTTTTCAATGTTATGTAATTAATATTTACTTGTAACATGTATGACTTGACCTGTATTGTGGAGAGGACTTATATAGGCAGTGCCTGCTGTCCAATCCAGTTATGTATAATCATAATAAAATATTGTTTAAATTGTTAATGTTTACGATTCACCAGGTGTGTTCAATTGTTAAACTCTGCACACACCACTGAGCACGGACTTACAATACTGTGAATGGGTTTTCCTTTCGAACATTTCTTCTCTGAATTTTCTGGGTTATAGTTTTAATATTTTTCATTAATACACAACAAAATATATGAAAGCGCAAGGATGTGTCAATCCAACGCGTCCAGAAATTCGAAGTTTTAATAACTTCGAAATGAAATAAGATTTTTATTATATTTTAGTATGAAATGCTATAGCAACATATAAGTCATGAATTTATACAGAAAATTTAAGAAAATATTAAATTCAAATCTGTGTCCAAGCACCTTTAATGTTTGTAGAAACTATTTTAGAAAATCAATAAAATTCTAATTGTAAATTTAACGTTCTTGCCAAATGGAGATATTTCTAGAGAAGCATTCAAGTTTATATTTTACTTTACTTCTCAACTTTAGTTAAACAAACATTAAAAAATAATCCGTGTAAATTGCTTTATAGCCCTGATCTTTTCCTCGGAGGGAAGAAAAAATGAACCTACACTCACACGTCATCACCATTCTAAACAGAAAAGGTTTAACTTTCCTGGGGGTTCTAATGCCATGATGGGAGGAGGAGGTGGTCCATTTCACGGAGGCGGGCCAAACATGAGTCCAATGGGCGGATCTCTCTCACACGGACCAATGTCTGCCCCATCCATGTCATCAGGTATGCGAGGGCCACACCCACCTGGAGGGGGAATGGGTATGTCGATGGGCGGTCCGCGGTCTCCAGGCCACGCCTCTATGTTTAATCCCGCCCAGTGTTTAACACAAATCAAGTGCCCCCAGTGGTGTCTGATGGTAGACGAATTTGGGTGTCACTCTTGTCCATGTGGGCCCGGTAAGGAGATCAATTTATGAGAAAATTTCAACATTTATTCACTACCTAACTTAAACTCTCTTCTATTTAATCAAGCAAAAATCTCAGATTAAATTTTGTTCTTAAGGAGGGATTCTTGTCTGGTTTCTGACTAAATGAAATATTGAAAGTGTATTTGCCCATATGTCGTATATATTTAGATGTAAAGGATTTAAAAGATTATATTTTCTTCTCTAAATTGTACAACGTTGAGTACAAATGGTAGGGACTATATTTTTAGCGGAATAGCGGCGTATGAAAATATCTCCTATTCTGCATCTTAAAATTACTACAAAACATTGAATTAGGTTATTTTTTTAAAACAATTAAATACTGAATAAAATTTTCTGAAGTGACTAAAATCAATTATGTACTAATGTTTTAAAATATATGAAATAAATTCATTTTTCTAAACAAACTATAGTCTTATTAGCTTTTGAAAGCTTCCGATCTAAGAAAAGATTTGAGCATAAAATCAGTAAAAAGCGTTTCTTCTCTCTTACTAAATGGTCAAAACTTTTTGTTTTTGTATTACTTTGTAACTTGATATGACTACTTTACCATATGTGAAAATAAGAAAAAAAAAATAAATATATAATGTATGTCAAAATAACTACTATTCCCTAAAAACTTTAATTAAAATGGAGTTAATTTGGATTATCTAATATCTATTTTAGTTATATTTTTATCTTAATTTGGTAATATAATCTGATAGACCTAATATGATGAAATCTTTTTATGCAAATAGAAAAACATTAAATGTTTTAAAATAAATGAAGGCATCAAATGATTGGAAAAACTATTTTTTTATTCTTGAAGTCAAGGAAAAAGATGATGACCTTGACCTGACCTTGCACCTAAAACAAAACGGTTAAATTTAATCTCATTGCTACCAGCTTTTAGTGATATCGTCATCTTAAATCTGTGAAATTTTCATTAATTTTTAAATACAATAAATAAGAGTTCCTCCTTAATTATGCTCTGGAATATGCAAATTAAAATTAATGGACAATTTGTTTTAAATATGAGATGTCTTTTATCACACGTTTATTCCATAATTCAGTGGATATCGGCCATAGGATATTGTTTTCATACATGTACCGCGCAGTTGTTACGTCATTAGGGTTTTTGATGTGAAAGTGATGGAGTCAAATAAAGTTGATTATAAATTTAGTGTAAAATATTTGATATCTTTGTGTAAAAAGTGATACTTAGTATCGCCGAGGCTCTGGAATAGAAAACACAACTTGTGGAATAAAAATAATCATATCCTACCAAAAAAACCATGAGTTATCCTATGTTCATTGAATCTTTTTGAGTTAAGGTTTACTGTAATAAAATATAAATATTATAATTAGGGGGCGGAATGATGGGAATGTCAGGCGGATCCTTTATGTCAGGAATGCCTTCAATGGGCGGAGTCTCATTTGCACACGTCAATCAAGGAACGAAGACAAAGGTAGACTGTATAGGGGTGGAGTTATGCAAATCGACATGTCAAGGACAATACACAATAGGTCCTATAGGATCAGACGGATGTCCTTCCTGTGAATGCAACACCGTATCAGGTTTTAATGAATATTTTTCCTCTTTCATTAATTGAAATATAGACAATTGACATGTATGTATTGTAGACATGGTAAAATTGACTTTTATTTTAAAAATGGAGAATGGAACATTTGCCTTTATTATTCTTGAGCAAGGACGAAAAGGATAATGAGTATAAACAATGCTGTTTCCACGGGTTACAGTATTTGTTTTCAATATTAAACAAGTTTACATCAATCAAGGAAACATTGTATCATTCAGAATGTAAATGTCTTATTATTTTGAAAATTATCGTCTAGCCATTTAGTAAATTAACAAAATATACCATTAGGATCTATGAGTGGTGGATCAGGGTATTTGAGCGGTGGATCATTTGGAGGAGGTGCTATAAGTGGCGGGTATGCTGGAGGATCTAGCATTATTGGTGGATCTAGTGTAACTGGTGGCGGATCCACAGGTGTTAGTGGTGGTTCTCATATCATTGGTGGATCAAGTGTTGCTAGTAGTGGATCCACAGCCGTTGGGGGTAGTGGAGGAACCATCACTGGGATCCGCCCCTCTGTTGGCGTATCAACAGGAACAAACACTCAAACTACGTACATCGTAGCGCCGACAAAGGAGTGTCGAACAGAACAGATTTGTCGAGAGAGCTGTGGATCAAACTTCCAGATTGGAGAAGCAGGAAAAGACGGATGTGGGACTTGTGTCTGCATAAAGCCATCAGTGACGTACAGTAAGTGGGATCTATAGAGAGTCTTTGTTTTTTTGGTTTTTGCATAAAGTCACTGTATGGACAGAAATATAGCATCTTTGATGGAAATTTAGCTCAGGCCATCACTCAGGTGGTCCAACCAGAGGGTACATTTTTTATATAATACAAGCAAAAAAGCTATGTTTTAATGTAAATTATAACCATTAGTAATGCTTTCGGTAAGATTTTCTGTACCTGAATTGAATTTTAATAGTCCTTTACATTGTTTTTGTCGTAGATTGTGCTCAACACTACATTTTTTAAGCCTAATACAAAAGTATTCTTATAAGTACCCCTATCATACAAACTCACCATGAAGTTCCTCCAGGATATGTTTTATGTGCATAAATAACGTTTACAATTAAAATTTTTGAGTTCACCTGACCTGAGCAGTTATTTACATTTGTTTCGTTGTACCATCTGTAGTTCCCCAGGTGGTGACCTTGACCTGCCCTAGCCTGACCTGTAACTATGGCTGCAGTGTGGGATATAAATGTGGAACAGATGGGTGTCCCACGTGTGACTGTGCTTTACCTTCAGGTAAATATAGAACGAGGGATAGATAAAGATAAAAAGGGATAAATTACAGATAAATTACAGATAGATTACAGATAAATTACACAGAAATTACGGAATAACAGAAAATTACGCTGATTAAGAACCATGATAGGACATAGGCTATAAAAGATTGCCTTCAATTCCAGCTTGAAAATGAAATTAATATTGAAATTGCAATGGTTAAACTTATTATCTTTTTTAATGTAAAGATTCGAAAAGATAGGAAATGTGACAATTGGTTGCAATAAAAAAAACTAACTTGAAAAAATTAAATATATAAAATAATATTCTTATAAATTATATCATTAAGAAACAACGATTGTAAAATGGAAGAAATGCTTCCTTGTATAAATTGTATATACAGTTGTTATATTGTATATTCAGTTGTAAACCATTAATATAAGATGCGTATCTCAAACAAAATGATCGAGAGATGAAAGCTGCACACCAGTCAACAGAAACCAGGACTTATTCTGAATCTAAATCTGACCCTAAATCAACAGAATCCAGGACTTAACCTGACACTAAATCTAACCCTAAATCATACAGAGAGAGAAGTTATTACAGAAACAAAAATATGTTTTTAAAGCATGATAAACGAATGTCTTATGTAGTGAAAGAAAGGACAATAGATACTTTTTAGAGAGATAATATTTATTATATCATAAGGAGAGGATTAAATATTCATTGAAATACAGTTGTAAGAAAACAACCTTCTAACTTTCAGGCTACGCCACGCATGAGGTCGTCATACAACACAAAGTGGATTGTACAACCTCGTTCAGTTGTCCTACGTCATGTGACGTTGGTTATAAATGTGGACTTGACGGTTGTCCTACTTGTGAATGTTTGGTGGGCTACGTACAAACTCAGACAACTGGTCAGTCTCCTACAGGTTTTGTGAAATAACATAAATGTTTTTTTTTCTTTTCTAATTTGAGTGTGTGTAATTCTATTCCAGACCTTTTAATAGAAATATTTGTTGTTTTCCTATTTCAGACCAATGTATCGATTGTGAATACATTGATTTCCTGACCCCAACACCAGAAACAGTTACCTATATTCAAACTGTTCCGAAGCAAACACAAACTGTTTACGTCACAGGAGGCAATGTATGCAATGATTGTGACGTCACCCCTCAAATGGTGTCCTACGTAAAGCCTAGGCCGCAGACGCAGACGGTTTACGTCAGTGGTAGCAGCGAGTGTCATGATTGTGACGTAACGCCACAGATGGTGTCCTATGTAAAACCTAGGCCACAAAAACAAACTGTTTACGTCACAAGTACGAATGAATGCCATGACTGTGAGCCTGTAAAGCCTCAAATGGTGTCTTACGTAAAACCACGCCCTGATCAGCAGACTTTGTATGTTACAGGTACATACATATATTTACTATGAAATGCTAGTACTTGTTTTATGTTGTTACTAATCCAATCATTAAAATATAAAAATTGTGCTGTTGAGTTTTCCTCCAGGAACGCAGACAAATTGTAACGGATGTGAGAAACTTCATACTTACTACATCCAGAAACCTACACCTCAGAAAGTGTATGTACAAAAACCGGACACGGAGAACGGAATACCGATCTACATAGACAGGCCACGCCCACAAAAACAAACTGTTTATGTACAAAAACCGGACACGGAGAACGGAATACCGATCTACATTGACAGGCCACGCCCACAAAAACAAACTGTGGTTGTCACTCAAACACAGAAATGTCATAACAGTAACACGTGCGGGTCAGGTCATGCAGCAGGTAAGGACAAAGTGAAGCATCTTTCATCAAGTGGTTATTCAAACTTTAGAGTCTGAAAACTTGAAAGTAAATAAAGTAATGCATGTTTTGCATGTTTTTTTCTGATGGTTTGATGTTTCAAATCTATTTATAGTAAGACTGATAATTATATCTTTAGAGTAAGTCTATTTCTGGAGTGACTGGTAATGTTTTTTTTTGTGAATCTATTTAATGAGGGACCGAAAATGTTATGTTGAGGGATCCATGGTGTGATGTTTTGAAATTATAGATAGATTGATAAATGTATGGAGAGGATGATAATGTATTGTTATAAATCTATTTATAGGTTCTTCTAGCGGTAGCTCAGGTGGTGTTATTATGAATGTTCTGACGGGTGGATCTGGTTATATCAGTAGCGGATCAGGGTTCAGTTCTGTTGATGGTGGTGGATCAAGGGGAGGCGGCGGTGGTGGAACTCCTTACGGAATCAGTGGCGGATCCTCTGTTTACAGCAAAGGGCGCGTGATTGGACCTAGCGGCAGCGGAAGTGGTAGGATTCAGGAAGTTATTTTTGAGCTGACATGAATGACATAATTGATTTAAAAAAAATACTTTTCTCTTTTGATTTTCCTAACGCTTAGACTCATGTTTGTTAAACTACTATTTAATATGATATTCATTACTGCATTGCATCCTCTATTTTTTTTTTTTTTTAGGAAAAATTCACTTATTTTGATTAGGATTTTAAAAAGGCATTTTATTAGTTTTTTTCCACATAAGAATATAATAGTCTTGTAAAAAGTACTTGATCCTGATCTGACGAATGTGACGAACCTGACATCTATATCGTCTGTAATATATAAACAATTCATTTTACTGTATATATTCATTATTCCTAACATTGTAGCGTATTGTGCTCTTTGTTTAGTTTATTTTGTTTTACATTGTAGCGTATTGTCCTCTTTAATTGGTTAATTTTGCTTTACATTGTAGCGTATTGTCCTCTTTGTTTGGTTCATTTTGCTCTATTTTGTAGCGTATTGTCCTCCAATGCGACATGACTGTCATCCTTCTTGTATCAAATATGACGATCCCCACTGTAGGCGGTGCTTGTGTTAAAAGGTAATAAAGTGTGTAGGCGATGCTTATGTTAAGAAGTAATCACGTGTGTAGGCGGTGCTTATGGTAAAAGGTAATCACGTGTTTAGGCGGTGCTTACGTTAATAGGTAATAATGTGTGTAGGCGGTGCTTATGTCAATTGGTAATATATATATTTGTGGTATCTCTCTATTATATAAACGTACAGAGAGCAAATATCTTCAAACCTGTAAGAAGTTTTTCAAAGGTCAAAGGTCATTACGTGACCTAATCACACAGCACAGTGATATCTACATAAAAAGACTTAATTTACCTGCATTATAACATGCTTTTTATGTATAAAAATGTACTAAATACGCAAGTACAATAATGATCATTTTATTTACAATGTAAACGAGTATTTTATAAAGTTCTTGATCGATTTTACATAGAGAAAAGAAAACTACGTGTTATAAGTTTCATGTCTGAGCTGCACAGCCTCAACGTTTACCCTTAATGTTCTTGTAGACTTCTGAATGCTATAATTGTTTTTCATTAAACTTTACTCACAATAAATTTGAAAATCTGTTGGAAAATGTCAATGTAATGCAATCACGCCACAAACAACTGACAAACACTGCACTTCGGAAGTTCGGTAGGGACACCTCAATCATCGAGATCGTTGTCTAATAACAATGAAAGCTGTCGCCAGTGTCTCCGTGTCAACATCATAATAAATATGCGTTACTGAAATCGTAGATCTGATGTTTCTGATCAAATTTTTTACAGTGAAAACTGTCTCATCCGACACCTGTGCAATCCGTCACACTGTGAATTCCAACGTAAAATTTCGTTCCCATTTCACTACATGTATTTCCATGTTTTTTACACTATACAATCCGACACTCTGCCTATTCTGACACAAAATTCGTCTCCCAGTGCATGTCGGATTAGAGAGGTTTCACTGTACTTGATTTCAAGTTAACTGGTCCGGACAAGTGTCTCCATCCCTCCCTTTCCGACCGAAATTCCTCCAACTTTTTATATAATCAAACATCGGACGTGTTTCTTTTGTTTTTTTTTAACATGGAGTTCCCAGACACCAACATGCTCACTATAATTGATCACAAATAACCTTTCACAGAATATTCCCTTCAAAAAAGAATCCTTTGCCAGATGAATTTGAAGCGTAACCGCTTTTCAAGCCGATTTACACCTTGCGTAATTTGTCAAAATCGACGAACAGTTAGTGCAATATTTGTGATCGATTATATTCGATTGTCCGTCACAAATGTATACAAAAGTAATAAATAACAAGTTTAAAAACTTCACTGGGAAAGGAAGCGGGTTGGTATGTGATCAGATCTTCTGAGAAGGCCTTCGGCCTTCACAGGATTTGATCACGTGACCGACTTACTTCTTTTCCCAGGGAAGTTTTTAAACTTGTTATTTATTTCTTAAATAACGTGGGTAGGCGATGCTTATAGTAAAAGGTAATCACCTGTGTAGGCGGTGCTTATGTTAAAAGCTAATCACGTGTGTAGGCAATGCTTATGGTAAAAGGTAATAACGTGTGTAGGCAATGCTTATATTAATAGTTAATAACGTGTTTAGGTGGTGCTTATGTTAAAAGGTAATAATACGTATAGGCGGTGCTTATGGTAAAAGGTGATAACGTGTGTAGGCGGTGCTTATGTTTACAGGTAGTCGTGTGTGTAGGCGGTGCTTATATTAAAAGGTAATAAAGTGTATAGACGGTGCTTATGTTTTCAGGTAATAACGTGTGTAGACGGATCCAACAGGGAAGGGGAGCGACAAACGAATAGTTTACATCCAATATGGAATATGAAAAAAAAACAATGATTTGAGTAATATAGAAATAATTAATGTTGGTTTTTTACTGAAAAATAACACTAATTCAACATTTAGTCAAATGCAAAAAAAAAAAAAAAAAAAAAAAAAAAAAAAAAAAAAAACAACAACAACAAAAAACAAAACAAAGGTAGTGTAGATTCAAGTTTCTTCAAAAGTCATGGAGTCTTTTGATCTTGGTTACTGATTATCCTAATTCTTATGGCTATTATTAGTCTTCATTTATTTGAATATTAACTTTAGTTGGTAAATAGTCAATTTCATTTTCCAAATGTCGGGAAACGGGGGATATCTTCACTATTTAAGTTTTCTGTATATTAAAGACAAACTATAATTTATTGAATGAAACTCAGTAATCATGTACGAGGGTTGTCCCAGAAAAACGCCAACATTTTCATTATATTTTGTTTCACTTGTATTATAAAATTTAAAATTGGCATGCCTTAAAATCAACACTTTTTAAATAATTCACAGAAATTTCAGTAAAATGTCTCTATAAATAAAATGTTCTTCTTTAGTAAACGAATCATTCAAAGAAGCTGCCGGCGCAACATCGGGGACGTCAAAACGTAGCTCGTGAAGTTTTTTAATTTGTTCAGGAATCGCGCGTCTTTAAAAATTCGTTCGAAACATAAATTTTATTTTCTTTTAGTTACCGAGTTATCCTTTCCACACGTACTACAGTTAAGCATAAATCAAGGAATAAATTCTTTTAATATAGAATATCCCAACCCCGATCATAAATCTATTGTTCGAGTTCTTAACGGGGGTCTCCATGTATGACGCCTAGCTCTAGCCTTTTCAGTTTTTCGTCATTTTTGGTCTACCAAACGCTTTTTCTATCGAATAACCAGTCCATTCATCTTTGAAAATCTTTTAGTACCTGTGATCGATACATGTATTTGATGTATTTGTGTTGTTCCCTCGTTCCCAGCTCTTTTTCCGTATGTACAGGAGTCAAACCCCGCTCCACACAACAATGAGTGATAATTTGGTGCGCAGCATTATCAGTCGACGTCGCCGTTTTTGGCAATATCTAAGTAATACATTTTGTGTATATAACATCATATGTTTGTTATTTATGATGTCAGAGTATTGATTTTTTACACACGAGTACTCTAGATCATAAAGTTTCTAAGGATATAATTTTTCACGTTATATTTCCGAATAGCCTGGAAATAAAGACAATTTTTAAAAGTCAAGAAATTGCCGTACGCCGACCACCGATATTAACAACCTTTAAATGTTGTTAATAAATGCATATGGCACTGGAACCTTTTATTATTTAGCCAAAATGACAAAAATATCAATTCCCAACATTATGCCAAAAATGAATAATTTTGGTCAGGTAGTTTATGAAATATTTAAAAAAGTTCGCTTTTTTTCTGGAACAGCCCTCGTATATAAAAATGCAAATGACCCACAAATATTTACATTTCCAATGTCTTTGTCCGAGATAAAATTACAAATTGTAAAAACATTTTATTTCTACATAAATCTACTGGTTCATCGATAGGCGCGGTTAAAAAAAAATCACGTGCGGGGCGGGACAAATAGAGACAGAAGCGGGGCTATTAGCACGGGAATTTGCAGAATCAGGAGCATACATGTAAATATAAGGAATAACTGTCAGATTTTTTGGATTCATGACGATGATCAATCGATTGGCTTGCGTGATAATTTTATGCATAAACGCCTTCGGCGTTTATGTAAATTATCACGCAAGCCACTCGATTGATCACATCATGAATCCAAAAAATTAGACAGTTATTCCTTAAATATAAGCACTTTGAAATACCATATAAGCAAAATTTATATCGAGGGTTCAATTTTGGCATTATTAGTAAGGGTTTTGAGATCGTTAAAAATGAATATCGCTAACAATTTATACCGTATCGATTGTTATAGCTATCTTTCTTGACATTATAAAATCGCTAAAATTACTTCTCGCTAATATATATATACCAATTATATGGGATAAATTGTTAATTTTGCGTCTTGCTTAAAATTCCACTTATACGGTTTACACATACACAGTAGATTTTTCTCTCTAATAATTCCTCGAATGAGATGTAAAACAACCTACACTCAATGTCTAATAATTTTCAGCTTTGTATAGAAATTATTCATTTAGGAATACAACATTTTTTCCTTCATGATTTCTTGATTTTTGTTTTAGTTAAATCGAAGAAGAAGACGTTGAACAACAAATTTAGTTTCCAAAGATACAAAAGCTGTTTACCTCCTAAATAAATAACCGTCACCTTTTCAATTTCATCTTATTCTTTATCATGCGCAGTTCATAACTGTTCGCGTTAAATATATTTTATACAAAACTTGACTGAAGTACACTGATAAAGTACATTTGGTAATCCACTGGTGGATTTAGGCTTGGTGATTATCTGATAAGAACGATAACTCTTGGTAGTATTAATATCTCTTAATTGTTAAGTTTTAAACCGATTTCTGTCACATATTAAGTCATGACTTGACACGCAAATCGAAAATGCTTTACTCAGTATACTACTACCGAAATGTTAGTCAATCTGTTTAAAGTGCCTAATATATATAACCCCAGAAAAAAAAATGGCAAAGGATAAGGTTGTACAAATTCACCGTCCACCGGTCAAGGTAGCCTAGAAGTAGGATGTTCGCTTTGTGATTGGGCAGCCCGGGTGCGAACTCTCGTTCACCGCTCCGCGCCAAACCTTAAACGTAAACATAGAAAGTGATTGTTCCTTTGCCAAGAGCAGAAGTTAGGGCCATCGGTCTATCCAACCTTAAAATAACCCGTCTCACAGTAGGCGTTGGCACAATAAATAACCCTGACTACCCAATAGCCCTGCCTGTTGATCATAGGTCTAATGTTGAAGCCCTTTACCGATATATGGTGACGTCTTTGTCTGAGTGAAAAAGTGTCGAATGGGGCGTAAAACAACATATAATGAAACATGTACAAATTGAATCAAAAAGCAAAGAGCAAGATCAGGTCAACAGTAGAGAGATTTTGCGTTGAAAAATCCTTAGGCAAACGCAACAGAAGTGCATAGAGAATATATTACCTATTATGATAACATCCGAGAGAGATTATTACGTCAGGCTAAAACTCTCTCGGACGTTATCGTAATAAGTGATACATTCTTGGTGTACTTCCTTTGCGTTTACGTAAGGAATTTTCAATGGGCTGAATACAATGCTGTTTAAGGATTAATTGTGGGATTCTTACGAGATGCAGAGTCAATCCGATAGCATGAACTAAGACAGAAATATATGTAGAGACAGTGTGAACCGACATTTTAGGTTAAAATAAAATAAATACAAGTTTTTAAACCAAGAAAGACCAGTGGGGGTACAACGTAAACAAACCGGAGTGGCATACCTTTCTCTCTTATAATGTATAGTAGGGTATTTTTGTGTGGAACGATTATTTTGGGTTTTCACGATTTATTCCTATGGTACACATGATAGATAAGTGTAATAAATATAATTTGTAAAAAAAATGTCCAACAAGTCAATCAATCAATCATATAATGGGATTCTGTCTGCATCGGTTGAATATCGAGATTGTTATTGTTTATTTAAGAAATAAGGTATCATTTATAATTTTTAAACATCTATCGGGATATAAAAACGTGTTGGTCACGAGATAAAATTCCATAAAGCCCTTCGGTTTTATGGTAAATTTGATCTCGTACCAACCCGTATTTTATCCAGATAGATGTTTCAAAATGATACCCTATTACTTAAATTTACATTTGTGACTTATCTATATTTTCTATTTGCCTGAGTATAATCCTTAACGCGTTCAATGTTTTATTTTTCAAACTCAACGGCACGTGTTTGATCCATTGATTGCCCGTAGACCCTTTATGACGTAATTGAGAAATTAGGTCGAACGTTTATGACGTGAGGAACCCGTGTTTATAGGGATATAGATACGCATTGCTTTTAATAGTGTTATATAAAAGAAAACATTTGCAAATGTAATATTCTTAAATCAAAAGTAACCTATTCGTAAATCAGTATGATGTTTCAATGTCGTTTTAATGATTTATATATGTCTTCGTCTTTACAAATCATAGATTGGTTGGCAAAAACACCGGCACATTAATGCTATAGAAACATGTAGAAATTGATTAATCGTTCAAAATAGAGGACAGGATCACTCATAAAACAGTTAAATAAAAACAACTGTGAAATCAAAGAGAATAAAAATATATTGGAATAATACAATGTGAAGATAACCCACAGTGACCGATCTCATAAATACAGTAAAGAATAGGAATGATGAAGACGGGAAAACCAAAAACCCCTGGAAACTCTAGAGGTGCTATCAGGTGTCTAAAAGGACTAAGGATTTCCTGTCGATATGTCGCAAACACGCTTTCAAGTCTGAAACAAACTAATACACGATCACTTTGGCTTAGGCAAATTGCATTGAAAGCCACAATACAAACTCCTAATGCAATGAAGACCAAAAGGTACAGTAGCTCCTCAAAACTGTCCATATCAACCCTATTTCTCTTCCCCAAACTTTACCTATCTCCTTCAGAGTCACTTTTATCTGATTTATCTGTCCCAGATGATGGGTATTTATTATTTTCTCAAATGTGACAACATACTTCTCTGCTTCCCTGAAGTTATTCAGAGTCATCACCATTACACAGATTAACTTTTATCCGTATCTAGTCCCACGTGATGGGTTTTTATTACATGTTTTCTCACAAGTTAAATCAGAGTCATCACCGTTGTGAGTACTTGCTGACTTGTTCATTCCATTACTAAAGTCAATACCCAAATCAACTAGATACTGAAGCAATTCCCATTTCTCACCGTCTGCTGCATACTGGAAAATTGTACGACCATAAAAGTCTTTCTTATAAAGTAATTCTGGGTAGTTGATCATAAGAAATTCGCATACGTTTAAATGTCCGCGAAGACAAGCTATGTGAAGGACATTTTCTCCCCAGTTACCTTCTAAAGTGATATCAATGTCTTTTTTAATCAGAAATTTTAAGACATCTAAAGCTCCAACGTATGAAGCTAAATGAAAAGCTGTCCAGCCCTTCTTGTCTCTTATCTCCAACAAATCTGAGTGATTATTGACCAAATACTCACACATCTCTGTTTCACTACTGCGAAAACATTTATTTAAAATGTTTCTCCATTTTTAGCTACAGCGTAAATGTCCATACCTTTCTCTGTTAAAAGTCTCACAATTTGCACATTACCTCCTAAGGCTGCATAATGTAAAACTGTTAAATCGAATTTGTCCTTGACATCTAGTAAATATGGATGTTTCACAATTAAATACTCACAGACTTCAAACTTTCCATAAAGACAAGCGACGTGAAGAATACTTTGACCACCATTTGCCAATGTATCAATCTCCAAACCTTGTTTGAGCAAAAAAGAAACTATTTCCACACTTCCGCCCTGGCATGCTGAATGTAACACTGTTAGTCCCTTACTGTCTTTTTCGCGTATTAAGTGTTGATATTTGTTATTTAGATACGTACACATGTTCTCTCTACCCTTTTTACAACAGGTATGTAACACCGTCTCCCCACCATTTGCCGTAGGTACGATATCTAAACCTTTGCTTGTTAGATACTGAAAAATGTCTACATTACCTCCAGAGGCTGCAGAGTGGAGGACATTTCTCCCATGTTTATCACACACATTCAGTAAGGGAGGGTATTTACTCAAAAGGTACATACACATGTCATAATGACCCTCAAAACAAGCAGTGTGAAGGATAGATTTGCCCAGTTTATTTTTTTCATATATGTCAGGTTTTATGTTGCTCGCTAATAACGATATCACATTTTCATCCTCAAAGAGATTAAGTAAGTACTCAAACATATTAACTTTTCCACAGAACGCCGCCCAATGAAAAAGAGTATCCCCTCGATGATCAGTATGGTGATGGATTAAATCAGGATATTTCTCAGTGAGATATTTGACCATATCTAGTCTCCCGGCTTGACAAGCACATGTAAGAACCGTATGACCACTGTCTCGACCTTTTTCATATGGATCAAAGCCAAAATTAAGCAGAAGATTGAATGCATGCTTATCACCAGAACTTGCTACGGAGTGCAATGCACTAGACCCTTGAGCATCTTTTATTTCAACAAGAAAGGGGTATTTTTGCAGTATTTGTTCAATGAATTGCGTTTGTTGCATCAAACAGATTTTTCCTGAAGTATAGTGTGTTTAAGAAAACTCCATACAGGATTTAAAGAATATGTGATTTGATGGAGATGTACAAGCTCACACACTCGAAATAGTAACTCTAAATTACCACTTTGTACAGCATGAAAGCATGTTTTAAAATCACATTCCACACCAGAAGACAAAATCAGATTCACAATTTCTGGATGGTTTCTTGAACAAGCAGCATTTAAAGATCTGTATCTTTGCCCTGTGTCTACCCTATGTAATAGATATTCCACCCATCCCTTATTTCCCGCATTCGAAAAGTGAACAATTATGGAATCTCCGTTCATGTCATGACATATTTCAAAATTTAAATAACATTCTTTTGTGTTTAACACGTGTTTACGGAAGTTTAAATCATTCCATAATCCCAGGGATGATACAGAGGAATATCCTTCAGTATACTGACTTGCAATGATGTTTGCAATGCGTTGAGCAACATCGTCAAAAGCTTTTTCTCCTTTGACAACTTGTGTATTGCTTGGGTTTTTACTTGTTGTTATCGTTAGTAGTAAGGAATGATGACAGTTTTGAATAATTTTTGGGGGGTCTAAATAAAACAGGACATTGAATAGAGATTCCTGCACTGAACTATGGGAAAAGGTAATGGAATTTTTAATCCTGTTTCGAACTGTCAAAAACCCATCAAAGGAATCAATGCTGTCTTGAAAATCATTAATACAAGATTTATGTAGACCAATCAATTCAATAGAGGCACGTTTCATTTCTAGATCCAAGTGAAGGCTGTTTATAAACTCGAAATCAACTTGACCCCCACTGAGAAGAATGTAAAAGAGAACAGCGGTTTTTGCGGTCGGACTCTTTAAACACTTTGTGAGGTAGTCTCTCAAACACTTTACAGGATTCATCAGTAAAGCCGATACATCCTCTTTAAGACCTGCGTTCTGTGCTAATTTACAACACTGTGGAAATCCTATGGATATAGGCATTAAGGAAACTTTACTGATAAGTTCTTCGTCGTCTATGTACTTAGATAGGTTATACCTAGAGGCTAGCTGAAGTATCTCTTCTTTTTGCAATGCATATGGTTCACTTGATAAGTCAACTATTGATGACTTTAAAAAGAAATCATCATTCCCATTACTTACAAAGTCCTGGTATATATCATTTCTTATTGTAAATATGAAACGATTTGATTCATTATCCGTATCTTTTTCAATGAAAACCTTGACCATTTCAGATGCTGCTGTAAATTGTTGAACATCGTTATTAGACAAAGAAAGTTCTCCAAATAAATTATCAATAAATACCACTATGCCATCACTTGGAGATATGTTTTCATACAAGTCTGTGATTTTGTAAAACTGAATGGAAGATTTCCTTTCCTTCATAAACTCTTTCATCAAAATTTTGGCGATTGTGGTTTTTCCTGTTCCAGGGTTTACTTTGATGACCACGTATCCGTTTGTGTCTAAAAGTTCCTTCGTTTTGTCATACGCACGAGTTCTTACAAATAGAAGGGAGAAATCTTTGGAATGTTTTCTTACCATTTTCTTGGTTGTTTCTGAAAGGAAAAGGAAATAAACACATATTTCTAAATTTTCACATGTATTCATACGAAGGATATGATAAAACACCAAAAAAGTAACATTTACCATACAAATGTCTGATTAAGCAGTCTTTCTAATGGGGGTGTATCGGAAATATAAAATTTAAATGTAAATTTTTGTTAGGTAAAAGATTGAAGTCAGCATCCAACAAACAGCCTTGAAAAATAGTCTCATTGTATGACATTTTAAGCTGATTACGGAAAGACATAGAATTCAGAAATCCTATTTCAATATCGAATTTTCATAACAATAAGTAAAGACTATCCATACTGCAAATTTTCTTATGCAACGCAAGCGCACTATTTCTTAATATGTTGACTAAACTCAAAGTCTCATATTATATGCAAGGAAAATTTGAAAATAAACGATAAGCTCTAATTGGCGACTATTTTACTTATCATGTTGTCTTAACTGTTTCATTGGCGCCTAAAATTTCCCCAGGTAATTTTTGGCTCCAGAGAAAAATTGACAATTGTAAATTTCTGTAAATTGGATGGGTGGGTGATGTAGTCAATTGTTTGTCAGATTAAACATTAGTGTAAGGTTGCTATTGTACGGACGAGCATAACATTTTAATGATGTATACGATCCTGAATATTATTATAGATTTGAAGAATATTTCTTTTTATCTTGAAAAGAAATAATCGATTAAAAATTTTGAACATTAAACTTTTAAATGCATGCTTAAGTTAAAATCTTTTGGGATTTATTAGATTGTGTCGATTTTTTTACTATTATTTTCCTTTGCGAATGCATTGATTGCACGCGGAAAGTTAAAAGGATAAAGAGGCATCAATTAAGTATAAAATATTTGAGAAGGAACAGTCTTTTAGTGTCTACCACCATAAGTCCCTTTATTCACCATATCAGCTTTTAAAATTGGCGCCTTAAAAAAGTGCCTGCCGACTAAAATTGCACTAGCGACTAATTTGTTTCTGTTAGGATCCAGCTATTCATTTTCGACGACACTTACAGGTTTGGTTAGTATTAATATCACTACATGACTAAATTTTATTACCTATCTTTCTTGCAACTTTTGGGTCTACAATAGAGAAAAATTAGGTTTAGCAGTTAATATCCAAAATGATCCTTAAGAATCAAGTCAACATAGAAAATCTCTCACGTTTCATGTTTCTTAAGAAGCTCATTATTTTGATTTGTTTGTGTATAAGTTTCAAATATTGACAATGTATGATGTTATATTGAAGCAACCCTACTGAAAGCAATTTTGAATTTATACTTTCTAAGCATAACTACATCTATCTAAAAAAAAGAAACAAATTGCCCTATTAAACGATCATACCTGGCCTGAGCTTAAATGTTTATACTAACCATGATGGAACATCAATTCGCTTTGAAATAATTGCATTCTATCTGTCAAAACTAAAGCAAATTCAAACAAAGAATCGTTAATTACAACAACAATAAAAGTACGATTAAATGTCATTATATAAGGCACGACCGTATACTTGCTTGAAAGATTATCGATAGTTTCGTGGAATTCTCTCATAGTAGGTCTATGTATTTTTTCTCTTGCTCTGGGTCCATTGAGCAGGTTTTTAACATGATGACTGCATCCTGGTAAACAGTGGTGGTTCCTAGGTATCGCTCTAGCTCCACAACAATGTCCCGGATGTTTCGCCATTCCTGTCTAAATTCTGAATCAGATAGAGATAGATCAGCTGAATGGCCATAATACTGGTTTCTTTTTTGGCGAATTCTTTCAATGTTGGCTGCAACGCTTCTATCCCCGGGATCTGGAATTTCTCCCCATCCTCTGGAATGTGGTGATATTTTACTTACATTACGTAGAAGTAAATACAATAAAGATATGTCTAAGTCTGAATAATCACCACTGTATTGTTTCGTAGGTTTGGGGAAAATCATCTCTGATTGTGTTTTGTTGAGTGGAATACGATATCCATGTTTTTGCAGATCGTCTGTATATTCTTTAATTTTTCTTGACAAATCAGATGGTGATATTTCTTTCCTTAGCATGTCACGTAATACATCAGTACACGGACCCAGTATAAGCCTCGCCAGTCGAGCTGTATTTGTTGTTTCTGCTGTAGAGGTATAGCACTTGGATAAAGACATACTGACTATTCGGGTGGTGTGCAATTGTTATTTGATGGTCTCCAAATCTATGAATCTATGATAAATAAATAATTGATTTAATAAGCATAGTTTTTTTTCATAAAATATAAGACAGAGATGATTATTTTTTTCTATTTCGAGCTGCTATATTTCAAGCTCTGCTTTCCTGTTTAGAAGAAAAAGAGATCAAAGCCATCCCGCCTCCTCCCTTGCTCCTCTCTCTCTTTAAAAATATTAATGAAAGGGGATATCGGGATCCTTTGAAAAAACGAAAACAGATTCAGCACATCTCTTCATTAAAAATGTGAGGGGAAAATACGTCATTTAACAATGCAAACGTCCTTGCCAGAGGAAAAAAGAAAATCAATTTAATCACCTTTCACCATTACTAATTGATGACATTGAAATTAACTATTCGGTTACCATAAAATTTGGCAGATTGTTAAAATTAAAACAACATATATATTGATATACATACACTTCTCTGTCAAATACGAGGAAGTAGACAAATGGACAAATATAGAGTAAAACAAAAAGCTGGAATCCCTGAATATTTGGACTTAACTTGATGTTTTTTCTCTCTATTTCTCCCTCTCTCACTTTCTCTCTCTTTCATTTTTGTCTCCCTCTATCTCTATGTCCCTCTGACTCACTGTCATGACAAAATGACCATATTGATTTATTATTAACAGAGATAATATGTATTACGTTATTTTGTTGAAACGGGAATATCTAAAAAAGTATTATATTGTCATCACAAATCTTTTCGCAGCAAAATACCGGTCTTTAACATGTATTATTTGATGTTATGTGTATATAGTCATTAACGTTATGTGATATTATGTGAAAAGACGCGGATCTAAGTTAAGAATGAAGAAGTATCTAGTCATAATGTGCTCGCCTCAATGTCAGCACTCCCAACAGAGTATGTATCATACATTGAATTGAGGAAAAATGAAGCACATCTTTACATCGTCAAATACGTTACATGTAAGTTCAAGCAGCACATCAGTGTGACTTTTCTATGGCCGGATTACTGAAGATAAAACTGATATAATTGATTATTTGAAAACAGCACAAGAATTGCTCTACAAAAATTTACCAAATTTTAAAACCTTACAAAGACATATTTCTACAATGTGAAAATGTAATGATCCCATAAATATAGCACGATATGTCCTGATAAAGTGTTAATTTTAAATTATACAAAAAAATACTTTGCAACAAAACAGCTGTAATAGATCGTGAAAGGCAAGGTATATACTGTATGATATGTTCTATGTCCATACTGTATGATATGTCCTATGTACATACTGTAATGTACATACTGTATGATATGATCTATGGTGTATATATTGCAGAATAAGCTCTACTCACCATTCCCTTATTTCTTATTTGTGGTAAATGTAGGCATGAAATTTATAAATCCTAAAGTACTTCCCTGTATAAAGCTTATATTGCCCATGCGCAAATCAGAATACCGTTTACATTACACAAAGTCTATCTGATTATGGATACTGGATAAATGTTTCCTGATTATTTGTCAGAATATAATGTGGAACAACACAGAATATCTATTGATATCCGTCATAGGGATAAACTCTATGTCAGTGTGTCTATCAATTGATATCCATCATAGAGAAATTTAAACTCTGTGTCATATCATCGCCTTATAAAGTATAATCGTGGACATCCGTTTATTCAATGTCAAGGAAAGGCGAGCAGCTATATTTTATTTTGAACGATATACAGTTCACGTCTGGTTTTCAAAAAAAAAAAAATCATAAAACCATGGCTGATACTCAAGTGCTTAAAATAAATCATGCATTCTGCGTTTTATAAACCAAAGCCCTAGTTGAAGGCTAGTTCCTGTTTTGACTGAGCAAAGTAATGAGATCATAACACTAAAGTATATGTTTAATGATTTAAAGGAAGTTGTTTGTGATGATGACGGAAGTGAAAAAACAATATTAAATCATATTTTGTGTGTTTTGAACAAGGAAAAACACTGAAATTATTATTCTCACCTCTCTTAAATATTAAGTAATAAATCATCATGCCCTCTATTCTTTATGTATACTTTCATACGACACTTAGTATATGTATTGCAACTTTAAACATACACTTCTAACCACGTGTAAATGTATATCTATAAATGATTGATTATATTAATATCCTTCTTAGGTGTATCTACTCCTAATATTCATCAAAATATGCAAACCGAGATATGAGTTATATCAAAGATTTTTTGAGAAGTATAAATTAATGCGGGTAAATATTGTATGACCTTCTTGCGATAATAAATATTTTATTTGTGGTATTTAAAACCTGAAGAGGAAATAATATATTTTTTATGTACAGTAAAAGTCGATTATATCAAAGTCCTAGGGACCCGCCAAATTACTTCGCGATATCCATAATGCGTTATATCCGTAAAAGAAATTTGTTTAAGTATATATAGCGAATTCGCAATATAAATTATTCCCTTCAAAAATGATTAGTACCAAATGTATTTTGGGATGTATTTAATACAATAGCTACCTTGCAGTTCAAAAATTTTCGGATGAATTGAACTTCAAATTTAAAATACTTACAAAAATAGTGTCAGTTCAATAGTTTAAAAATTGAGATCTTTGAAAATTGAGATTCTTTGAAAACTCGCTATAAAAAATGTAATTTTTTTCGTTTTCATCTAGGGGACACAAAATCAGTTCGCTAAATCTGTAAATTCGCTATATCTGTGTTCGTTATATCCGTAAATATTTACAAGGAATTGTTAACAAGTTTGCCAGGGATTGCAAAAAACTTCGATATATCCGTAAATTCGCTATATTCGTGTTCGT